AAATCTTTAATTGGAAAAACTATATATATGACTCTATATTGAATTTTATTGACGTACTGATTTGATCTAAGGATTGAATTTTATTTGAAAGCTAGCAGAGATAAAAGAGATATCAAAAAAAATTTAAAAAAATATCATATCTATTATTATTGTGATAAGTATAATATATGTAAGGAGGAAAAAAAACTAATAATGACTATTTATAATAATATCTTATCAAACAATATCCCTCAAAAATAGCAAATAATATATCCCAATAATAACATAATAAATAGTAATATATTTTTAGAATATTTTAGATAACATCTCTCCTTAAATTCAAGATGGCTTAATAGAGAGCAACTTGAGTTTGTCTACCAAAAATTGAGAACAGCCTAGATGAAAAAACTTTGTAAATAGAAGGCCGTGAACAAAAGTTACACGGGTAACAAGTGTAAAAGTCTCCTCATGATCGATAACATACTCTTGAGTGAATCCTTAAGTTACTAAGCAGGCCTTACTTTGTTTCAAAGAGCCATCAAAATGAGTTTTTTTCTTGTAGGCCCATCGATACCCAACTAGATTTTTACCAGGAGGAAGATTAACAAAATTCCAAATATGTATTTTCTTTTTAGGGCTTGTAATTCCTCATACATAGCTTGTATCCAGAGGGGATCATAAGAAGATTTCTTAAAGGATTTGGGTTCCTGAAATTGGAGAATGGCAAAAAAACAATGGCAATCATTGAAGTGAGAGAGAGGATTTCTTACACGATTAGGCCAAAAGTCTATGAATGATATGGACTCAGTAGGCATGACTTATACTAGAGGATCAGTAGGTGTGACAATAGGCACATCTAGAGTAGGCTCAATATTGGTCATAGAAATGAGTTCAATAGAAGAGCATATACCTAAATTACTGGGAAAAAGGTTAGTAGAAATATATGTAAAAATAAAAGGTGAAGAAGAGGAGAAAGACAAAAGATTGGTTAGAGATGAAAAATTGATATTTTCTTAAAAGATAACATGCTAAGAAATGCAAATATGATGAGAGAGAGGATCCCAACAATGATAACCTTTATGCTTAGAATCACAACCAATGAAATAACAGACACGGGCACAAGCTTTAAGTTTGTTTATCTCATGAAACAAAAGAAAAACAAAACAAGCATAAGCAAAGACTTTTAAAAGACTATAATCAAGAGGATAACTATAAAGACGCTCAAAAAGAAAAATGTTATCATTGATAGGAGACGGGAGTCAGTTGATGTAAAAAAATAGAGGTTAAAGTTGCTTCACCCTAAAAAGGTTCAAGACAAGAAGAGGAAATACGCAATGCTCTAACAGAATCAAGAATATGACGGTGTTTACACTTAGCATGATCATTCTGTTAAGAAGTGTAGAGACAAAAATACTAAAAAAATAGTGCCTTAAGAATCAAGAAAACTGAGTAATTCAGAGTCACGATATTCCAAAGCATTATCATGATGAAAAAATTTGATGACTTTAGAATACTGAGTGTGAATCACAAAACAAACTTAATATAAAGTTCAAGTAACTCAGATCAATGTTTCACCATTTAGATCCAAGTAAAATGAGAAAAGTCAAAATGAATCAAATCAAATGGAGAAGTAGCAATGGAATCATTATTATGAAAAGACAAAGTGGATTATTTAGCATGTTGATAAAAAGTACATTGCAAAGATTGATTATGAATATGACCTAAAAGACTCTTAGAAATTAAAGGCTATAATTTATTCAAAGAAGGGTGAGCAAAACGACAGTGCCATAAGTCAAGAGAGGAATCAGGAGAAGAGGATGTGGAGGCAATACATAAAGTGGGAGTAGTAACCTCTGCTAGGTGCATTGAGGTGAGCTCAAACATACAACCAACTTTGCGCTTGGTCCTGACAATCCATCCTATTTGAGAATTCATCACAATACAACCACGTTTGTTAAATAATACATTATAACCGATATCAACTATAAGTTGTTTAATAGAGAAAAGGTTAAAGCTAATGGCAAGAACAAAATATATATCATAAATAGATAGGGAAGGCAATGAGATAGTACCAATGTGACTAACAAGCATTTACGAATTATCATCATTGTGTATGGGATAGGCAGTAGAGTTAGGTGTCATAGAGGAGAAAAAATTTGCCTGACCTGTCACATGATTGTAACAAGCAAAGTCAAAAATACTAAATAGATTTACTAGTTGGAGTAGAAAAGGTAATAGATGAGCTGTAGGAGTAGTAGATGATTATGCATAGCAAAACTTCAAGTTCAACTGTAAAGGATTCCAAAGTAGACTAAGCTTCAAGTGCAACAGGGGAGGATCCTAAAGGAGATCAAGCAAGATCACATTTTTCCAACTAAAGGCAGTAATTTCAACCATTGATTCAAAGTAAATGAGATAGGTTGAGCAACTTATGACTTAGTCATTTTTAAGAAAAGAACCAGCACCAATAAAAAATTTATCAGCTATCATAAAGTAGCATGAATTAGGGAACTAACTATATGTATAAGGTTGTGCTCCACAGAAGTTGTAGTGCAGACAAAATAACAAATCGACGATTCAACCATTAAAAATGACAAATTGGATGTTACGATCGTGCTAACTAAATTTTATCCTGATCTAACAATTAACAAATTGGAAAACTCTAATTTAACATGACCATCTTATGAAGATGCGAAAATGACTTTCACTCTTTTTCTCTTGCAAATGGTTATACATCAATCTGAATATGACTCCTTTGAACTTAGGATGGAGGATAGAAATATTAAGGAAGGCTGTCACTTTTTGAAAACTTAATTTTCATAAAAAAAAATATTTTATGACTCTAGTACCATGAAAGCTATCAAAAATAAAAGAGTGACCAAATAAGATTAAAAAATATCATGTCTATTACTATTGTGATGAGTTCAATATGTACAAAATGGAAGAAATAACTTAATAAAAACTATTTACAATGATATCTCATCAAATAATATTACTCAATAATAATATAATAAATAGTAATATATTTTTAGAATATTTTAGATAATAATTATAATATTATAGACAGTTTCTGGTGGAGGTGAGACACAACACAAATCGTGATTATTCTACTGCAACCGCCTCGTCTACCCACCTCTCAACCACTAAAGGTTCACAATATTATTCATAGTTTTTATGATGAACTTAGTTAATGCATAAATTATAAATAAATAGAATAAACACATAACAAAACAAAACAGAGAGAGAGAGACGCCAAAAGCAGCGGTCAACCTTTTAGCAAATATATTTAATCATGAATACTTTTGTCATTTACGGCCGATAAAAAATAGAATTTGAGAAAAATATTTTTATTGTATTTTATACACGATTAAAGCAGTCTTTTTAAACAACCTCTCATACTTATGAAAGAAATTAAATAAAGCTTTTCTGTTATTCTCATTGAATTATTTTCATTTTTTACGAAACAAAGATAAGAGAATGTGAGAATATATTTGGTAATAACATGATGAAAACTTTAAAATTTGTTATTCCTCAAATATGTATATGCTTATATAATCACACACACATTTTATAAATATAGTGTATAGCAAAACATTTTTTTTGAAAAAAATTAAATTATAATACTCCACCCAAATTATAAGACAGTATTGAAGATATTTTATTCTTCCAAAACATAAAATAAATTAATAAAAATAAAATTTTATTAATAATACTTTTCTAGCATTATCTCTCAAGTAGAGAGGAAATTGAAATAATTATGAATTTAAAATTGTATTAAATGAATGTTATCTTTAAAAGTTTATATTTTTATTTTAAAAATATAAATTTATAAAATATTATTATTAAATTTTATTGATATGAGTAAAGAAAAGAGTACTCGAAATTAAAAGGATAGGAAGACAAGAAGTTGTTCATAATAAAGGAATCATCTATCTATTATAGAGTAAGACGCAATTCAGTTATGCTGAAAAGACAGGAACTATAAAGAAAGTAAATTAGAGATTATTAAGTACTACTTCTTTTCTAAATTGTAATAAAAAAAATTAAAATTTTAAAATATAAAGCATTTTAATAAATAATATTTTATTAATATTATTTTGTAATTTTTATTATATTCTGTCCTTTTAATATTATTTTATAAATAAAGTATTAAATGAATATTTTAAAAAAATTATTTTTTTAAAAAATATAATTTTATAAAATATTTTAATAAATTTTATTAATAGATGTGATTTTGGCTAAAAATGTTTTATCAATGAGCAAGAGGGAGTATTATAATTATAAATTTATAATGAAGAATAATTATAAAAAGACAAAACCACGGAGTGAAGGAGACTTGGGGTGACAAAACCGATGCAGGTGCTGAGGTGCCTGAAAGTGATCGGTAGCTTCCATCGAGGTTCTGTGACATCCTTCACGCTTTCACCCACCCTTTGCCCATGTTTCTTTTATGAACTAGCTTGCACGGGAGCAAATATTATATCAAATCATACACTATACATTTATTTTTATTGATGCTATATTAATTTATGTGTAATTATTTTATTACGTAATAGAATACATTTCTAACATAAAAAATTTTATTCAATATTCTACAACCTCTATTATCAATTAAAAAAATATTGATGCATTACCACAACATCATGAAATAAAGCATAAAAAAATTTTATTTTATTTTTAATAAATGTTTTATATATATTTAAAAAAGAAAGGAAAATAAAGTTTTTCTAATTTTTACTAAAATTAAAAAGAAATTGCATAACTTATTCTTATTTTAGTTACAGTCTAGGGGCAATTAAAAGTACATAGAAAATCTATTAATGATGAATTATAAATGAGTTGCATGTTAAAAAAAAAAAAAAAAAACCCCAACAAGACTACCACGGTGTTTCTGTGATCATGATGTTCCTCATCTCCTCTTGTTTGATTATTTGTCTTCACATTGTCCTGCGCTTCCTTATAAATTCTGATGGTTTGATCTACGCAAACAATCATCACAAATCAACTCTTTAACCGAGAAGATGATGCATCATCAGACTCATCTTCATCCCTCCACCTGGTCAGTCTCCCATGACATGCCCTCCGTTTTTGATCCGTTCGATCTTTCCTCCATCTTCTTCTCTGACCATCATTTCCAGTACCCAGTTGAAATGGGTTCAGAAGCATCCAAATCCATAGAGAATTCCTCCCCCAATGAATTTGAAGTTGCTTCTGTCGTCTTCTCTCGAGATCATAATTTCCAGTACCCAGTTAACGGAGAAGATATTACGGGAGTCCCATCAATGGATTTGGATGCTCATGACCATGATTTGAGTGACCAATTTCTGAATATCCATGGATACCCGGAAGATAGTGAAGAGAGCTTCCTTCCTTCCCAGAATCTATCTTCTGAAGCAGAAGATTATTGGAGTTGTAGTCCATGCATGAAATCATCAGAATGTTTGCTGAACTTGCCTCAAGAAGACATGGAAATGGACACCCAGCTGATTCTTCCACATCTTTTAGAAGCCCACGGTGAAGCCAGAGATCAGAACCATGATGTTTTGGCAGAAGAAACCCTGAGATGCATAAACCAGAAAACAAGCCCACTCGCAGAAGATCCTCTGGAACGCCTAGCATTCCACTATTCCTTCCAAAACAGGACAGGAAATCCTGAGGGCCATTTTCTCAAGCAGGAGGCTTACAAAAATTTTGTTCCTGCATTCAAGGCATTTTACCAGAGCACCCCCCATGGAAGATTTGCTCATTCTGGAGCCAATTCAGCAATTCTAGAAGCCATATCAAAGGATTCAGAGGCCATACACATAATAGATTTCGACATCGGAGAAGGGGTCCAGTGGCCCCCTGTGATCGAGGCCATTTCTCAACAGAACAGAGCGCTGAAGTTAACATCAATGAAATGGGAAACAGAGCAAGAAAACTCTGAGGAGCCCAGAAGGAACCTTGTTGAATACGCAAGGTCCTGCGGTCTCAAGATGAAGATAGAAGAAAAAGGTTTCGAGGAATTGGTTTCGAAACTCAAGAAATTGAAAAAAAGAGGAGGCAACGTGAAGAGAGATTTCCTAGTCTTTAACTGCATGGTGGGTCTTCCTCACATGGGAAGAGGAAGAAGCAGAAGGTCTGTAATGGAGTTTTTAAATTTAGCCAAGAACATGATCAACAAGAACACCTGCAACAGGGGAATCATCACTTTGGGGGATGGGGAAGCTGACAACAAACTGAGAAACAGCTTGAGTTTCAGGTCATTTTTTGACGGCAACATGATTCATTACAAGGCCTTACTGGAATCAGTAGAATCAAATTTCCCAGCTTGTTTCTCACAAGCAAGAACAGCCGTAGAGTTCTTATTCGTGGGACCTTATGTGTCTTCCGCTGCTTGGATGAAGAAATGGGAAGAACTGAGAGAAAATAACCATTTTCAGGCAGAAAATGGCTTTGGGATAGAGGGTAGAAGATTGAGCCAAGAGATTTTAATGGAAGCGAGGGAAATGTTGAGAGGAAGCATGGTGGGGTCATACGAGGCAAGGATTGAAGGGCAAAATGGGAATGAAATGGTTCTCGCATGGAAAGGAACACAGCTAGTCAGAGTATCAACTTGGGGAAGTCAAGAGGCCTGAAAGTGAAAAGCGTTGTGAGCTGTGTGTTCCTGTGTGTCTGTAATGCATTATGCTCCGACTAAATTTGCACATGGTTGTGACTTGATTTGTATATATAAAAAAATGAAGTGCATGTAATGTATGTATATTCAAAAATCAATGTAACACAATCCATTGTCCAGTTAATGATATCACTTTCTGTTTTACTTTTTACTTAAAGTCAGAGAGTCAAAGATGTTAAACCTGTATCAATGTTTACCTTCGAACTTCGAAAATAGCTCCGAGTAGATGTCGATCGCTTCTTCTAGTAATACCCTATATCTGCTTTAATGGGCTCTCGCTATGATGGGAATACCAATTCCAATAAAAGTGCAAATGAATGGACTCTGAATCCTAAGAGGCTTAAACGATGTTGAAAACAACTTTGATCCCCATTTAAGCCCCTAGATCTGGAGAGACTGGTTTCCCGGCACCATGGTGCTCCTAACATGATGAACAATATGGACTCTCCAAATATTTATATTTTATTTTATATTTATTAAAATAAAAATTATAAATTTTGAAAAATTTATCCTATTATCAATTTAGATAATATAAATTTAATCTGAATAGTTTAATTATAATTTTTATAAATTGACTATCCAAATATATTTCAAACAGTCTGGATTTAATATTAAAATTTTTTAAAATTTTTATTTTAGTAGACATAATTTTTAAAAATAAACATAAATATAACTTTCAAATTGGAGTATTAAAAAAATTAAAAAATTTATAATTTAAAATTTTTAAATTTAGACTATCGAAAATACATTTGAATGGTTAATATATAAAAATTATAAAAATATTTTATACTAAATATATCATTTAAATTAAATTTAAATTGTCCAAATTGATGATAGAATAGATCTATTAAAATTTATAATTTTTATTTTAATAAATATAAAATAAAATATAAAAATATAGACCAATGAGCACCATTATCGCATGATGAGTAACGAAACCAGTCTCAGATGTGGATTTTTCTAAGCCCTCCTCAAAAGTTCTGTACAGATTTGGGCTTTTTAGGACCATTGAAAACAACTAACTAAACTACTAAAAAAATCTTTAAATCAATAAGTATTGATTTTAGTTTAAAAAAATTATGACTGTTTAAATATGAAATTTTAATCTTAAATTTATGTGAATATAGAAAATATTTCTAAAAATTATTTTAAATTGAGATTGACAATACTTGAATAATTTGACCTAGTCAAATAATTACATTAAAAAAAAGTCCTTCATCCATATTTTAAAAAATAATTAAAAAAGATGAGTGAGCAGGAGGAAACAATAATAACTAAAAAATTATAGCAAATTTATGAAACTAATTTTATTTTTATTAAATAGATGTAAGAAAATATTTCTTTAGTAATTAATCGTCCCTCCAAATCATTGTCCATTGCCCGCTGTCGTTGAAGATTGAACGCAAACTTCAACCAATTCTAAGATCCTAGTTTTTTTTTTTTAAAAAAAATCTTTTGACAAGCATTTTGTTACCATATAATTAGGTGCCGGAATCAGCATGTAATATTAAATGAAAAGCTATATAGCTGAAGCATACAGTAGCTTGTAAACTTGACTATAATAAACCACACATCACTATCTGCACTGAAAAAGAAAACAAAGAGAAGATAATCCAAAGAGAAGGAGATTTAAAACGATAAAATCACATGGAGCGACCAACAGACGTTACCTTTACTGGAAAGAGAAATAGCAGCTCAAGTAAGATCTCATATTCAAGGGGGCATGAATGCAAAGTCACTTTTAGACAGATTTTCACTGAAATAGAAATATATTGATTGAGGCAAGCAGACCCAAATGTTCCTGTAGCCTTATGTAGCTTAAGGGTAAAAACCCTAATACAATGAATAGGATAAGAATAAAATAATGAAATTACAATAACGGGTACAAACAAAATATTTGAGTAAAGGTAAATCTGTACAGAGTCTTGGGCTTTTATGATATGGGCTTTAGTAATTTCTGATTGAGCTTGCAACTCAACGTCTTAGCATGCCCTCTCAAATGAGAGGCTGTGCTTTTTACCAGTCTAAGTTTGTCTCTCAATGCTAGAAAACGCAAGTGAGTCATAGCCTTGGTAAATAGATTTGCAATATTATTTAAAGAAAATACATGCTGAACCAAAAGTTTCTAATAAGCTACCCTGTCTTTGATGTAGAGAACATCAAGTTCTATATGTTTGGTTCGAGCAAGGTAGACCATATTCGAAGCAAGCGCATTAGCACTTAGGTTATCCCACCAGGCGACTAGAATCTGATCAAGCTTGAATCCAATCTCAAACATTAGAGGCTATAACCAAGCAATTTCAATTGCAAGATTAACAAGGGCTTTGTATTCTGATTCTATGCTGGATAGTGCTATAACTCTCTGCTTTTTATCAGACCAAGCAATGAGAGAGTCACACAAGAAGACACAATGTCCACCAATCAATTTTCGATCATTAATACAGATTGCCCAATCCGCATCAAAAAATCCATATAAATTCAAGTATTTGCTTGGTCTGATATGAAGTGCTAAGTCTTTTGTGCCATTTAAATATCGTAATATACATTTGGTTGCTTGCTAGTGTACGTTAGTGGGCGATTGTAGAAATTGACTAAGCTTATTAACAACAAACATGATGTCTGGTCTTGTATTGACTGGATATTGTAGAGCCCCACTTAATCTTCTATAAACAGTGGGATTTGAAAGAGGAATGCCATCATAAATCAACAAGTTTTTGCTTATAACCATAGGTGTAGGTACGAGAGAGCAAGTTTCCATCCTAAATTTCTTTAGAATTTCTATAATGTATTGCTCTTGTTTGAGATAAAGCCCATTAGAGTCTCTATAAGCCTTAATCCCAAGAAAATGATGAAGATCACCAAGATCCTTTAGAGGAAATGAAGAATTTAACTCTTTCACAAACATAGAAAGCATTGTAGGATTGTCGCCTGTGATGATTATATCATCAACATAAATAAAGTAGGGCATTACACTAGACTATAGCTTGAGAAAGAATAATGAAGTATCACACCTTGAATGAATAAAATTCCAGCTTAATAGAGTGCTCTTCAGTCTATCAAATTAAGCCCTTGGGGCTAGTTTTAGCCCATATATAGCTTTGTTCAGTAGGCAAATATGGTTGGGAAACCTTTTATTAACAAATTCTTTAGGTTATTTCATCAAAATTTTCTCTTGAAGGAGTCTGTTCAAAAAGGCATTATTAACATCCAATTGTCTTACTGGCCAATTGAAATAGACAGCTATAGTAAACACAAATCTCAATATGGAAGATTTTAAAATAGGATTAAATGTTTTTTCATAATTTATGCTAGGATACTGTCGAAACCCTTAGCTACTAATCTAGCCTTGGCCTTTAGAAAGGATCCATTAAAGTTAAATTTCTATTTAAAAACCCTTACAATATACAGGTCTCTCTTGTCTAGTGTAAGGGATTAAAACCCAAGTTTTATTTCTGATGAGAGCATTAAATTCCTCAACCATAGCTTTCCTCTATAAACTGGATCTTAGTACTTCTTGAACACTGTTAGGCTCAAAAATAATGTCATTTATAGTGGTAATTAAGTCAACATAAGAAATTTTAGGCTTAAAAATACCTGATTTACTCCTTGTGACCATGTGATGTTGATTTGATGTAGTTGTAGCTTGATTCTGATTTTCATGCTATTATGCAATAATCATTTCAGTAATTGAAGTAGATACAGGCTCATCACCTTTGAATGTAGAATTTTTGTTTTCTTGAATTTCTTATAGTCTTACTTCTAATCCTAATTCAGCTAATTCAGGATGAATATTGTCTTGTGCAGGAAATTCAAAAATAAAAGCATTGGATTGTAACAATAAAGCCTGAATAGAAGATTCATATGAAGCAAAAACTAAAGTTGGGCATTGAGTAGATGGTGCAGTAAGCAAAGGTTTAAAGAAATAGGAGGATCAACATCTTGTTTAGGTACTCTTTTATTCATAAAACCTTATGCAAGAAGAAAGGAATTTTTATTAAATTCAACATTTCTAGAGATATAAACTCTTCCTATTGAACTTAAGTACTTGTAACTTTTACGATGATTGCTATAGCCCAAGAAAACACACTTTGTAGTTTTAAACTGTAACTTATGCTGGTTGTAGTTTCTTAGGCAAGGATAACATGCTAATCTAAAAAATTTCAAACCTTCATAATCAAGATTGTTCTTAAATAGGAGTTGATAAGATGAATAATCACTTAGAACAGGAGTGGGTAGCTTGTTTATAAGTTTAGTTACTGTATGAAAAGCTTTCCACTAGTAGAATAAAGGCATATTTGCTTGAGCTAATAGTGTTAAACCAACCCCAATAACGTGTCTATGTTTCCTTTCCACCCTACCATTTTGAGATGTGTGAGGCCAAGAATGACAAAAGTGAATGCCTGCATCTTGTAAAGTCTTAGTAAAGCTTCTATATTCTCCCCTAAATCACTTTGGATAGCCTTTATTTTTCTATCAGATTGATTCTCTGCAAATTGTTTGAACTTGATGAACATTTGAAGAGCCTCATCTTTAGTTTTTAGTGAAAAAATCTAGCCATATCAACTATAATCATCAAGAAACCACACATAGTAATGATAACCATTTAAAAATTTAATAAGAGAAAGTCCCTGTAGATCTGTATGAATGAGCTTAGGAGGGTGAAAGGCTCGAGAAGTAGAAACCTTATAAGGAAGGGAGTGAGATTTATCAAATTTGCAAGATTCACAAAATAGAGGTTCACTATTTTTATTCATCTTCACATTACAAGCACTAATAACTTGATTCAAGACTCTCACTTGGATGACCAAGTCTACAATGAGAAACAATGGCACGTTTATCATCTAAAATTTAGGGATGCTAAGTAGGTTTTTCATAGCAATAGGTGCATATAAAATATCTTTAACAACAACACTTTATCTAGGAACATTTTGAATTTTAGAATAACCTCTTTTCTCAACACTCATATTTTGGCCATTAGCAACAAACAACTTAACCTTATCATCTGTTTGAGTAGCATTGTCAAGCCTTAAGGCATCATTTGTCACATGAGTGGTAGCACTACTGTCTAAATACCAAGAGTCATCGTTTACCACCTCTGGAGAAGCATAAAAAATAGAGTTGTGAGAAGAATCACCTCTATCAAATGAGCTTCTAGTGTGAGTTAGTGGTTTGAAAGACCTATCAAATCACTTGTAGTAATTTTTAACATGATGACCTGTTTTGTCACACAACGCATATGATGTTTTATCTCCACCACGACTAAATCTTCCTCTTCCACAAGCATTGCTACCACTACGGCCACTTCTCCAACCACCATGTGAGTGTTCAGGTATGACCAGATGAGCAAAATGAGATGAAACATTAGCTTGAGTAATCTGATTTAGTTGCTCAAGGTGTGATTCAAAAGTCAAAAGAGAAGCTTGAAACTCTAACCAGCTTAGATCCACACTCTAAAGAAAGTTGAACAACTATGGCATTGTATTCACTAAACCAGCCATAACTTACAAAAGAAGATTAACATAAGGTAATGGACTATCAGCAAGTGAAAGAGATTTAGAGAGAGATTTCATTTTAGCTAAATACTCAAACATAGAAGATGAACCTTTTCTTGTATGCTAAAGCTTAGCTTTCAACATTAGAACCCTAGCTTTATTTCAAGCACCTGAAAGAGCTCTAGCAGCACGCCAAAGTCTAGTAAAGGTGGATATTCTAGTCATCTTAAAGGAGACATCGAGAGATATGGTATTGAGAAGCCATCTAAATAGCAGTTGATCTACAACCACCCAATCTTTAAAGGCAAGATTTGGTTTGGAAACATTGTCTTCCATAAGAAATTGAGAGAGATAAATATTGGAACCATTGATGAATCCTTCCAGCTTGTGCCCTTTAATGATAAGGAGAACATAATTGGTTCTGTCGAGTTTAATAGAACAAGATTGAGAGAGAGCATTGTTCCCTATTGAGTTTTTAGGAAGATTGATAGTTGGGACAAGAGAGTTGTGAGATGTAGAAGTATTTAGAGTTTTCAGGGAGCACTCGTCAACCATGATAGCTAGCCTGTCAATACTCTAATACCAAGAGGGATTTTCACTGAAATAGAAATATATTGATTGAGGCACACAAACCCAAATGTTCCTATGGTCTTATATAGCTGTAGGGTTAAAACCCTAATACAATGAATAGGATAAGAATGAAATAATGAAATTACAATAATGTGTACAAACAAAATATTTGAGTAAAGGTAAATTTGTACAGGGTCTTGGGCTTTTATGATATGGGCTTTAGTAATTTCTGATTGGGCTTGTAACTCAACATTTTAACACTTTTTATTGAAAAAAAAAAAAAAGTAAGAAAGGAAGAATCAGGGAGAGAAAAATGTTTCACATCATATATATATATATGAATGAGACCATGAATTAATTTATCTCTTCATTCAATTAACTGTTAATAGCAACCCTCTTATAATCCATCTCCCAAACGAGGACGAACAGCTAAACGTCACCGCCAGCGTCGGCTTTCTCTGGATGCGAGAGATGTGAACTGTAAAACCTCCAAAAGCCATGGCTTCGGCCTGCTTTTACTGTTTTATATTATTACTGTTCATTAAGACACGAGAGAGATTTGGCAGATATGAATCCGAATCTTCCAGTAGGCTCTGTCCCATCTTTATTTCCACCGTTTCTGTGTGGATGTCTCCCTAGCCCAACCATTTCGACATAACACAAAATTTGGCCATTACATTCACGAAGGCGGTGGGGTTGTCCGTGTTAAATAATGATGATCGGTACTGTGAACACATGTGCATGCATGGGGTTTTCCATTTAACTGATACACATTATTTATTACAATGTTCAGACCAAAGTGACGTTTCACGCTAACTAGCTAGCTAGCTAGTAATTGCAGTGAGTTAGCATCGATTGAGATAACCACCTCTTTTATTTGCTTTCTAAGTCTCAATCACAAGTTCTTCATAACAACACATATATATAACACGTCATCTTTAAGTGCCAAGAGCACAAAGCAGGAAAATCATACAAGCACAACATTACTTTTTACTGATTATAGAACGTTGCTTCAATGAGCGCATGCAGCACTTGATTATTTTACTTTCACAGCTCCAGGACTAGGTCTGCATTGTATCACAATAACTTGTGTCAGTCTAGTTAATGGAATTAGAGTCAAAGTGGACAAACTATTGGGCATGTTAGATATGAAGAATCTGGATCCCTTAGCTAAACAAATAATTCTTACTTCAGTGTTCTGAAATAGTGATTTACTAAGCGATCAGAAGTTCATGATCACTGATATTTCGAAGAAGTGTTCTTTTTTCATTAAATGTTCCCCAAAATTCTATAGGAACATCTAAATCTTGGATCATAAATTGTGAATAGTTGAGCACTTACAATCAGCATCAGTTTTGATCCAGTGCTCCTTGTTCCCAGACGAGTCTCCACTCACAAGTGCAAACTGGTGTGGATTCATTTGGCCCCTGTAATTTCGCATGATATCCTTTGGGTTTGGAAAAGACCTTTTAGGCTGTCCCATGCTATCTTCATCTGGATACACCAAGTCGCCTTTGTTGTGGTTTCCATCATTTATCATTTTCTTCTTGCTCTCATGCTTCTGGTTTTTACCAGACTTATCAATAATTGTTGAGCTTTCAGGATGAACTTTCCTGTGAAACATGTGGAGAATCTACAGACAACAAGTCAATATGGGCCAATGAAACCAAAACGAAAGACTCTGACGATGTATAAATGAATCATATTTGAACTAGGGTAAAGGGCTTTTTTGAAGAAAGACAACAAAGAACAGAAAAGGCCAAAACTTTGTAGTTGAGCTCACTACTAGAAAACAGTAGATGTGCAATGAAAAATGTGTGATGGATTAAAACGCACAAGGACGTCACAAATCTGACCCAAATATTTGCGATAAAATTTAAAATAGACTCTTGCATCTCAAATATTCACGATGGAATATAGTTTAGGACAAAATATTTGCATCTCAAGTATTTGTGATGGATTTTGGGACATAATGTTGTGTCTCAAATATTTGCAACGGAATTTAGAACAGAATATTTTCATCTCTAAGTAATGCCCCTATAAAATAGAAAATCCGTCACAAAATACCTGTTTTCTAATAGTGGCTGTACAATGTTGGTTGCAAACTGATTTACCACGTGATCATGGGATAACTCTACAGTCTTCCTTACATATTTTTGCAAATTTTTAGAAATAGAGAAACAGTAATAATAAAAGATAAAAGAGTTAAATGAAGATGAACTAGATTAAATTGTAATGATTAAGTGGTGGGGACAGAATCGTAAATTCTATTAGTTTACCTTGTGCAGTTTTGTCTCTGCTACAGCAGAATCAACAGGTCCACCATTTATGGATGTAGAGTTTCGCGAAGAAGCAAGGAGCATTCTTCTCTTCAGTTTCTTCTTCATCAGGTTCATAGCTGATTTATCTGCTTCCCTTTTGTCTTCCTTTTCATATTTAGCTCCAGAATTCTCCTCCGCTTTGCTTCTCTGAAATAGCTCTCCAAGTGATGTCCTGTGTTCCTTCTTTGCCACTGTTGTTGTTTCTGATAATTCAATGGCTGATCCAAATAGATACCCTTGAAGTGGACAGATTGCAGTTCCCTGCCCATTGGACTCAATGCCTTCAAGTGGTTTTCCACTGAGTGTTATTATGCTTCCATGGCTGCTTCTCCCAGCACTGACATGGCTATTTCTTCCTGATGAATCATTGCAGTAATCATCCTTGGTTTCAGCCCCCAACACTTTCTCTAGCTCATCGTTGATCAGCTTCAGTTCATTCTCAGTGACTTCATCTTCTTTCTCAGTAATATTTTCAACAGAAATAGCAAATGTTGGTGTGGATGGATCTGTCAAACCTTGCTCAGAACCAAGAGTTCCGATAGCAAGAAATCCATGGAAGAGATCAGATATAGCATCTGATGATTCTTCCTCATAGTCATCATCTCCTACCTTTGCTGCTTCAAGGCCAGCAAATGATTTTCTAAGGTTTTGGTCGCGCTGTGCTTGCCTAAAATGCTTGGTCCCATGGTTTGGTTTCTGGTAGTTTTGTTGATCATCAAGTGCTGACTGCCCTGAAAGACAATTACAAGAATGCCCTGACACAAAAACAAATATAGCTGGGTGGACCTTGGGTTATATGGCACAAGGCAAACCATGACATGCTATTCTATACTATTTTGCAAGAATTATTGTCTATTTCTTAATCTTATGTCGTTTTAAAGAAAATTTCCACTTCGTACCACACAAGAAATTTGAAAGGCCAACTTGGGCCATCAAATGACGAGTTTAAATTAATTTGTTTTACTATATGTACAATGCTATAATGCATGCATTGCTCATAATCTCTTTGACTGCATACTCTACTTTCGACTTCCAAATGTAAAAAATCAACAGGTTGGTCAATATATCAATCATGTAGTTAATGTGCTTTGGGAAGAACAACGTGTGAGTCGCTTACCAATGATCAAATCTTTCAAGGGTTCGCCACTATTCTGGCGAAATTTCCTATGCATCCAACCTAATAGCTGCGGGAGCAAAACAAAAGAAGAAATCAGTTTTAGGGAGTAGGCAATAATAGTTAAGGTTTTGCAATGCTGGAAAACTGATTTTAATCTCACCTTCATCTTTTAATCGTGTTCCACAAAATCTTCGGCTTTGATTGCGTAGCTCGCTTGTGAATATAGGAGTGAAGGAAAGAGCTCTTTTTCTTACTTAATGAATGATTGTTTATACGGTGAACATATAAGATCTTCCTCATAGCTTCTACTTACGTGTTTGGAGAGCTGAAAAGAGAAAAAAACAGAGGGATACTTACAAATTTTGTTTGCTATTCTATGTCAATAAGGAATCAAGTGGGCTAATGGTTAGTGGGTCCTAATCAATGCTAATGTGATCATTGTGCAAGGTCCGCTATAACTGTAATTGCTTCACTAATTACAATTGAATTGAATCTAGTGGCAATGTGTCATACATCGATTGTCTCAAGAAAATTCACATTACTCTTTTCGTCTTAAATTATAAAATATTTTTAGATAAAATTTTATATATCAATAAATCTCATTAAATATACTTAACAACCTTATCTTTCCAAAACAAAAATATAAACTTTTAAAAATGCCCATTATTTGATATATTAAAAAGAGAAGGGATAAAAATTAATTATAGAGAGAGAAAGGGTAATATTAAAATTGAAGTATTTAATGAAACTTTAATTCACTTAAAATGTTTTATACTTTAGAATGGAGAAACTCCTTCAAAAATATCCTATAATTTAAAACGGAATGAGTGTTATGTTTGACGTGTATCCTATATACAGGAGAATACGTCTCTTTAGTAGATCATTGTCCTCAAGCATTTGAGAAGGGAATAATAATAGGCTATTTATTGCAGTGACAAGATAACCCAACTGGCTGAATAGAATTTGCTGTTCAATATATATTGCTGGGGTCCAAAATACAATCATGTGCAGATTTTCTTCAGACACACCAAGTTGGACCATTCTTTGCTTGAGTTGGTCCATTGCAGAATGACGCAAGTTGTTTGTAAAAGTAGTTTAATTTGATGGAACCCTCTTCAAATTCTTAGCGTTCGTTTATTTCCTATTTTTCAACTTTAGGAGCACTTTTTTATTGATAAGGCACAATCAAAACCATGCAATTACAAATCAGAACATGTTTGAATGTGAAGAGTACCTACAATCTAGTAGTGATTCTTTAAGAATCCTAATATTAAAAATATCAGTTTCAGCTTGATGAATCAACCAGTCAGCACAATGATTTTCTTATTTAGATACATTATCAATGGAGATTTGCCAATCACACATAAGAAGATCCCCACTTCTTCTAATAGAATTGATAAGGGGTTGGTTAAGCGTGTTTTCATTTTGAATAAGATGAATAGCTTCTAAAGAGTTGTTAACAAGCATGTGGTCTTGCGGTGTATTTTTCCTTGGTTTTTTAAGCTACATAACATGCAACTAGGGTTTGAATTGAAGATCTTTTATTGATAGGTTTTAATCATATATGTCTTTTTTTTTTTTGGTGAAATTTTATCATATATGTCTGTATTAATTAATTTATGAAAATGATGAGTGCAGATAGAAGCTCCCAGTGACTCCACTCTCTCTCTCTCTCTCTCTCCGCCACACACATTGAAGGGAAAGAAGACTAAAAAGGGAATAATTAATGAAATTAAAATGATTGAGGACATGTTAGCTTGGTAATAACATCGTCAACATCATGTGATACATTGATGCATGGTAACATGTTGGTGGACTGTGCGCAGCAAATTAGTGGGTCTGACAAATGCCACATTGTGGAATTTTGAACCCAAGAATAAGCCCCCTTTTCCATGGTTATGCTCAATTACACCTTTTTCTTTTGGCCGAGTACTCAATTATGCCATTCAAAGACTTGATTTTTACCCAATATTGGGAATTATTTTGACAGTACTTTCTACTATTTTCTATAGAATTCATTCATTTTTTGCTCATAATATTAAAAGTCTATCAGCTAACAACTTGAAAATATTGGCCTGTCCCCAACATGGTATATCTTGCTTTTTGATAGATGAATAATGCAAGAGCATGATAAAAGGGACCAATATATTAAGGAATTGGCCTATATTGAACAAGAATAGGAATCCAACTCATACTATCAAGTCTTACTATCGTGTGAGCATACAGACTAAATCGCACTATTAATACATACAAGACTCATATTCCATGATAAGTGAGGCCTGTCTTGATTTTGGTGAATCCTGAGGCCTAACTCACTTCAGTTTTTTTTGCAACAAAAACAAGGGACTGGATGGATAATCACTGTGAAGCATTGGGTAGCACCATGTTTGGATAGATAATCATTGTGAAGGATTGGATAGATAATCTGGTGCAAGCATCTAACGTTAGACGATAGATGATGAAATGGGAGGCCTCAAAGATACGAGCTGATGGTTGTTTTTAAGGGACAAGATGAGCAAAGCAAAGAAGTGTGTATACAGGGAACAATGAGAAGGCATACTGATCCCCACCTTCCCTTTTCATCATCAATTCCTGTATTGTACACTGTTGTAATCTGTATCATTCTTTGTCCCTTTGCCCCTTAAAAGCTACGCCTTTCAACCATGTGGACACATCCCTACAAATCACCCACCTATTACAAGCTCAAGCTTTTACTGTTCAATTTAATTGATCCTCTTCCATCACATGTTTTTGATTCAGCAGTAGAATGATGCTTAACGCTTCAGGCACGTCAATGCTGGATATTTGCGTTGAATTAGTCTGGATGACCGATCTAAATGAGTACCACAATGAGCTGTTTATGAGCAGCAACATAGATCACTCTGATGGGAACAGGGGAGCTACATTTGACTCGCACTGAGATTCTCATGGTCTGGTTGTTTGGGTGGTGAATAAGGGAGAGGCCAATAGGCTGCCACGCAGACGGAAATATCCAATGAGAAGGGGTCATTCGGAAAAGGACGAAGGAAGGAGATAAAGGAGTAATACAACGAGTGATGGTGTGTGTGATGGAAACAGAAGGAAGGTGGAGACTGAGAATGTGAGAAATATTGAAGTGGAAGTGCAGAGAGAAGTGAGAGGAAAGAGGCAAATTGAAGTGTGAATACATAACACTGCTTCGTCCATTGTGCTTAACATGCATATTCATGGTTAACAACTGCTGCAAAATCACCATCTTGTCACAAACCTAACACCATGTCTAGTCACTCGGTGCTTCTTCTCACTTCTCATCTATCCTTTCGCTCTCATCCCAGTTCATACCTCCTGACCACTCGCTTTTCTTTTCCCTTTTCCCTTTTCCCAAGAGGTAGTTTAGGCCAGAATTGATGGTCTGCATTATTGCTCAGTCTTTTTTTTTTTTTTTTGCCCCCTTTTTCCGTTTGTGTCTAGGAATCAGTTGTAATTTGTAAACACATAATATTAGGAAAACTATAAAAGCAGCATTTTATTTACATTGAGAAAATTGAGGATTAAAGAGTCAAATAAAAATAAAAAATCAAGCCAGTTCAGTCAATTTTAATTTTATTTCATTAGAATTATTTAAAATTTTTTTAAGTGTTACTTAAATGAATTGATTTTTAAGTGGGTATTAATTAATTATTTTCATTTAAAGTGTTTTTTATTCAGTTTTATTTCATGAAACTGATTATTTTGTCTAATTTTAGCCTAAAAAAACTATTTGAAATTTTTAATTAAATGTTTTATTATTAAAAATCATTATTATTTTAAAATTAACAGTTGAAATAGATTATCGAAATCAAAGTAAATTTGGGGATCAAAAGTGAACTATAAATATATGTTAAAGTTAACATGTCAAATGAAAATTAGTAGATAAAAATTCAATAAAAAGGGATAGAAATTAGGAGATTAAAAGAAGTTAGAGTATAAAACCCCGTCAGTGCAAACAATGCCTGTTATTGCTCGGATGGAACTGCAACAAGCATTCAAAATCCTTCATCTTCCTTCCTTCTTGTTTTCGTTCATTGAGAGTGCTGTTGGAGAAATTTGGGTCATGATTAGTTTTGCTCTATTATAAATGCTCAGAAAATTAAAGCCTCTTATGATTTTCTTGCAAAACTGTGCAAAGGCAAGTATATGTAATAGTGACATGACCTAGTCATGGTGGGGTTATCCCTCATCTCCATATTTGGGTTATTAATGATGTGATTTAATATCGTGATTAATAAAACGGTAAGTAATGATATGATTTAAAGAAGACATTTCATAAGACATTATTTTTTGGTTTTTTTTTTTTAAAGAAGAGCAATGGAAGAAGGAAAAAGAAAGGTGAAACTGTCCAAAATTCCCTTTAATCCTAAAATCAATGCCCATGATCCTCTGTGAGAGCTTTCAAGCAGAATCATTAGAGTTAAGCATCGTTTTCAACTAAAATTTCATTATTTCCAACCGAAGTTTTATTATTTTAAAATTAATACTTTTAACTCCAATTATGATTATTGCACTGCTTGACCACAAGATCTGGGGAAATGCACTCCGAATGATTTGCACCTCAACCGATAAGGTTAGGCTTGATGTGGACTATTAGTCAATATTAATGAAGGAAAGGTCTCAGTCGTTGGCAATCGAAGTCCTAGATTAAAAGTTTCACCAAATTTAGTGGATTTCAACTTAGCAGAGTTGCAGAACTTTATTATGGTAAAAATTATTCACAAGTGGATGATTTTTACAATTTTATCCAGGCTATAAATCTTATTCACATGAAAAAATATAATGATAGATTCTTATAATTTTATCAGATTTTACTTTTAATTTTTATAATTTTTTAATATTTTTAATTCTTATAATTTTAACAAGATTATATGATATTTATTAATCAAATCTCTATAGTTTAAATATTTTTAGTCCCTACAAAAAATAAAAATGTTAAAAAAGATTATAAAAATTAAAAGTAAAATTCAATAAAATTATGAGAATCAATATCATCTCATTAATAGGCTAGTAATCTCATTAAGTATGAATAGATAATCTCTGAAACATGTTTTCAAAGAAACTAACTACTGCACAGATTAACATACTCATTTGGCTGATCATAATTGCTATGATATGAGGATCTTTAATAACCCACCCATAAATTCAGGGAATTTCTAAGATTACCACTTGACATGGTTCTTTTAAACTTTGAATATCTTGTATATGGCCTTGGCCATCCCAGCCCCCGCCTCTCTCTCTCTCTCTCTCTCTCTCTCTCTCTCTCACGCACACACTCTAGCAAACGCTGCACATGCTAATCCAATCTATGGTATTACACCATTCCATTTAAGAAACCCATTTCAGAAGAATTTCCAGAAGCTACTCTTCTTCAAACAATACATAGTAAAACCACAATGCGCAGAGAAGAGCAGGATCAAACCACAATGGTGCTTACCTCCGTCGTCGTCCGTCAGGTTGTTGCTAGTCGGAATCAACTCTCCATTCTTCCCTCCACTGTTCTCACTTCTCACACTGCTTAAGACCAATGACTTGCCCTTTCCGACTTGAGGGCATTTTTGTAATTTAGTTTCTCTTTCCCTACTTCGGCTGAAACGCATCTCCCTTTGACAAGGCCCTTCACGAACAAGCCAACCAAAGAAAGGGGGGAAAAGTTCTGTTTACTCGTTTGCTTTCGAGAGTTTTGTTTACTCGTTTGGCAATAGCCTAAAGAAAGGGGAAAGAAGTTCTCTTTATCGGTTCGCATAAATTTAATCAAGAATAGTTTTTTGTGCCTGATAATCTAACAGTTGTGTTGTGCAATTAAAAAAAAAAAAAGGAAAAAAGACTACATCTACAAGTGACAATCTTAGGACCAAATTATTAGTTTATTGGATGAAGAAAACCATCCAAGTTAAAACTGAATCATTTCCCATTAGGATTCAAAAGATTGGATTGAAAGAAAAGAAACTCAAACAAGATTCAAGATTCAAAGTAGTCACAACGTAGTTTTCTTAATCATTCATTATACATGTTGGTCTCCAGGAATGGTCCAACCTCGGGAAAAAAAGATTCCTCTTTTCTAGCTTCTCGGATTGATACCGTCATTTGTCCTCAGTCCTCACATGGTCCTCCATTTTTCATATAAATTGTGATGCGATTTTCAAGAGGATCACTCATCTATCCGATCAACATCCCAAAACAATCAAGATGATGAAGCAGCCTAAGTTCGTATCAATCTCAAGTCGCTTCCATCTTCTTCTCTGAAGATCGTTTGCAATACCTAGTTGAAATGGGGATCAGGAGAATCCAAATCCGTAGAGAAATCTCCCCGTCACTGAATTTGAAGACAATCTACAACTTCAATCAATGACTGACTGAGGATTTCTCTATGGATTTGGATGCTTTTGATCCCATTTTGAATTCCCAGGTTCCAGCTTTCTTTCATCAGATCAACCACAGCGTGTAAAGGAAATGTTCAACGAGGTGTTGAGTCCCACATTATCAACCTCATAATAGATAGGGTGGGATTTATAATTTTCAGAGCTTTTTTTATTCTCAAGTGTTTGAGGGGCTCTTTCAATGACACAAATTTGCTGCTTATTAGCGAGGAGACCTTAGTATTTTGTCTCATAGTGAACATTTGCAAGGTTAAAATAATCTCCCTTTGTTAACAAGTGATTCATTAGACAATAAAGGATAAACTCCTCAAACAAAACCTTTCATCGACCATTAAATATATTTTAAAGCAACTTGTAGTTTTTTTTTTTTTTTTTTGCCCCTTAACCTCTCTAACTCTTCTCTACAGAAAATAGAGTCTCATATACATGCATCATTCACTTACTCAATAGACAACACACAACATCTGATTAACCCGCACATGCCCATCTGACTTAAATCCCCACCCATTTAGGGCCTACAGACATTATTGAATCCACAACCCCTTGCATGAAGGGGGAGAGGTTCATGCCAAATGATCATTTCATTATGACAAAATGAAAACAATAAATAAGTGTTGAGTGTGCATTGATAAATTAATGAATGAAGGCTACATATTATTATTTTTCCAAATTTGGCGGATCACAAAGTGAAGGAGATTGGGGAATTGATGAGGTGGTTTTGCAGGCACTGGGTTTGGGGTTTCCTCTGTAGGCATTGCAGATATAATTTATGACATTGTTATAGTCCTGCACAGGCAAACACAGGTTCTTCACACGCAGACCAAATGAAATTATAGAGGCAATATGTGTGTGTGTGTGTGTTATGTACTCTTACTAACCCGGAAGAGTGGTTCATCATTCACAGTCACCCAGGGTAGATACTTCAGAGGAGGATTCAGTTTTGAAGTTTCCTCAGCATTGTGCAGAATCAACTGCATTTTCATTTTTTTTTTTTTTTGGCATGGACCTGTTAGTGAGATTTCTGAACCAATCTACATGTCCAAGTTCAACTTCAAATGGAATCAGAATAGCCAAGTAGGTAATAATTTCTTAAAGATTAATTAGTTTCAGTCCTTAAGATCAAGATAAACTCGATCGACTTGGTTTTAGGGCCTTTTTATCGAAGGAATGATGTGTAAAAAAATTGTTGAATTATATGAATGCCTCTTTTTATATTTCAACGGAGACCCCTTTTTTTTTTCTGAAAAGTAAAAGCAAACCTTATTTCCAAGCCCAGTTGTACAACATTTTTTAATGGATCCAGGGTTCAATCCGAGATGGTTAGCACAAAGTTGCCACACATTTGTATCCTTGTCTTTCTGGTGCAAACGGGTCTCAACACAGTGAATGAATGGGAAATTCAGTGTCTACAGTATCAGCATTCAGTAAAAAAAAGAAACAAAGTTACGAGTATGGCGCCAATGAGAAATTTAATGAAAAAAAGTGGGGGAAGGTTTGGAAATAAGACTTACCAATGGCCAGACTTTAAGAGCACATGCTTCTATGGTGTTGTAGTAGCACTCAAGAGAACCATGCTTCAGATTCAATTCAAACCCAAATACATATTATAGGCAAACAAAATTATTAATAGCGGGAGACATCAAAAAGGACTAAGCATTACTTCATTCCTACTATAAATGAAATATAACAGTTATTTTTCACATTGTCACAAAAGCCCATTTTTGTTCTCATTTTAGTCCTTATAATACAAAACCACTAACCTTGCAATTAAAACGCATGTTTGGTTTCTATTTTTTAAAAAATATTTTCTATTTTTAAAAATAAAAAATTCATTGGGATATGTATCTTGGATTTAGATATTGTCAAAATTGTTCTTATTTTTTATTTTTAAAGAAAATGAAAACAACTTATTGTTGTTTTGCTTTTTGTTTTCTTTATTTTTTTTAAGCAAACCACATTTGACTATTATTATAAATTATGTTTTGAAAAACAATTTTTAAAAATGGACTTCTGCATATATAGCTCATGCTCTATTATAAGACTAAATTAAGTAAACAGTTTAACATTTATTATATTTTACATTATGGTTAATTTATTATATTGACAGACTTTTTTTATATCAATGTGAATTGGCCTCACTTTAAATTTTTTAAAATTTGGTCGATCTTTTTTGAGCTCTCAAATTTTTGGGCCAGAAGGCCAATTTATCATTTTAAAAATTAGTCTACAAAATGGTTTTAAAAACAAAAAAAAAAACAATAACAATACCAAATAAGCCCTAATTCTTCTCCTATTTTCAAGGAAGGGCTGTGAGTATTTTCAAGATGGTCAAGAGATCTATGGAATTTCAACAAAACTTGGAGAAAGTTTGTATAATTCACTTTTTATTTCCGATCGAAGAGATCTACACATATTTTTAAAAATCAAAAACATGTTCTAGTAAAATAAAAAATAAAAAAACATGTACTGTGTAATTCAAATGAAATCCAAGAAAAGTTTTGATGAAAAATTTTGAAAATGGAAAATGTTTAATTCCATTACTTCAATTAATTAATGAATTCAGTGAATGTCTGGTGATATCTTGTCTCCAAAAACATGCCTCATGTCACCAGAATCTAGAGAGATCAACAATTCATTGGGGCCAATGAGAATAAAAATTTATAAATTGACACATCTATAGAGGACTAAACTAAGGAAGAAGTTGTATTAAAAAGGAAAAGGAAGAAGTCACCAAGAAGAGGATATACTTGAGGTTATATCTTAACTAGAATTTTATCCTGTGCAATGCATGGGTGAGAGAGATATGATAAAATTTGATAAAAACTATACATTAGATTTTAATTTTGAAAAACAAAAGATATTTGTTCAAATTTAATGATGGGATAAAATTATTCTAACTTTAATTATTTAAGGTTTAAAATATATATTTTAAAAATTTAAGATTCAAATCGCCTTTGGACCTATAGTTTAAGGTTCAAATCCCATATTAACCCTATTCAAAAATTATGTTAATATCTTTAAAGTAAAATATATTACTTTTCTCTTTATTTTATCTTAATTATAAATATTTTTTACTTTTAAAATATATATAAATCCCGCTTAAAATTTTATGAATCTCTCTTAAAATTAATAGTTACTTCCTCCTTTTAAAAATGTAAGGCATTTTTAATTAAATCTCACCCCCAATAAAATAGTTCTTTACTTTCAAACTAATTATATCTTTTCATATTTACTCATATTCAATACCCTATAATAAATATAAAGTTATTATTAATATGGGCACTTTTAAAAAAAAAGTAATTATTACACCTCAAAAAAATAAAAAATATTTTACATTTTTTAAAATTTAACTCTTCAAAAAATACCTCATATTTTTTAACAGAGGGGGTAATAGTTATAAATTAAAAATATGCCTTCTATATTTAAGTTCTTATTTTTATCATCCAATTATTAGTTGATAGTTAAGTCACATATATTAGACTAAAATACCATTATTAATATATTCTTTTAAATTTCTATTTATATTTTAAATTTATTAGTCATATAAACTAATTTATTTAGTATTTTTTAAAAAAATTAAATATACTCCATCTTTTAAAAAATGTAAAACATTTTTAACTAAATTTTACCTCTAATAAAGTAGTTATTTATTTTTAAAATAACATCATCTTTCTATATTTACTATTTAATTAAGTGTTTTACTCTAAAATAAATATAAAATAATTTATTTATTAGGGACACTTTTGGAAAAATGATTACACTAAAAATGTCTTATATTTTTTAACATCCAACCCCTAAGAAATAACATTAAAAAATACCTTATATTTTTTAACTAAGAGAGTAAGTTTACTAAAATAATATTTCAAACATGTGCAAAAAAAATTAATGAAATAAGAGATAAATTAATCAATATAATTTATGTTTTATGTTTGTTTAAATTTTATAATTTTGATAAAATATTTTTAAATTATTGTCATAATTAATTGTTAAAATTTTCTTTTTCAAAAATTATTTGAAGTTCCTTAAATTAGGAAACAAGAGGATAGACAAATAGATTATAGGGGTAAATTAATAATTTAAATTTTGTCAACATAAATACAAATAATAAATCAAATATTCTAGAGTATTTAACATAATATTCCTAACCATATTGAAAATGAGACTAAAGTATGAGTTTTTTAAATAAAGAAGAGGTCTCTATAATTCTAACAAAACAAAAGGAATGCTAGTGTATTTTACTCTATAATATGTTAATTTGTCAAAATTAAAATCTAAAGAATATTTTATTTTAAAATTTGTTTTGTTCGTATATATTAAAAATATAAATCATAATTTATTTTATTTTAGAATGTATTATCCCATATAAGTTAAAATTTAATGAACAACTTCTTCTTTTTTCCCTAAAATATCTCATAGCTGACAGGTATGAGATCAAAATTTTAATAGGATGATACCTATAAAGAATATATTTTATTTTGCAATGAGTTACTTTTATATATACTAAAAAGTATAATTTTTTTTTAACATTTCTTGCCTCTTACAATTTGAAATATAATCTAACTTCTTTTTTAAAAATGTGTTGCTCAATGTATCACCTTAAGGAAAATAAAACATATACTATAATGAATCGTACTACAATTTAGGTGATAATATTATTCATAAATTATCATTATAATGGTTGTAAATTAAGAAAATGATATAATCCATGTTTTAATACCATTGACCAACCATATGTACAAGCATTACAAGTAACATAATGATTATTAAGAAAAGATTAAGTGTGCAATAGAAGATAAATTCATTAATATTATATAATTAACTTGTAGCTCATAATATTTTTTGCTTGGACTTGAGGCACATAACCACATCAATATTTTCCATAGATGTTCAAACTATAATCAACTTTTACATATAAATAAAGAATAATAGATTTTATATCTTATACATGTGAAGAATATAAACAAAAACTTATCTTATATATAGTCTTACAAAATATTTTGGTTTGTTACTATGCATTAATAATAGATAAATAGAAATTTTTTATCTAAATCGTATTATCCCATATAAATTTTATTATATGTCAAATACTTATTATTTTCAATAAGAATATTCTATCCACCTCCAATTTTTACGATATATATCTTATATAATTTTTTAAAATATAAAAATCTTATTCTTTTTTACATCTTATCTAAAATTTTGACATTTACAAATGAAAATTTATATGGCAAATGTTTTTCATCGTACCTAAATAAATTTTATTAATTAAATTATAGGTCCCCCTCACATTTATAAATGCAGATCCCTACCTTTGCATAATTTTTTGGTTAATTTATATATTTAATTTTTAAAAAATTTACAAAATAAATACATCTAAATGGTAAAAAATTAATTTTTTTATTATTTAAATTTTTTAGGCAATATTTATATTTAAATAGGGGTATTTTGGTCTAATATGCATAACTTAATAATCAACTAATGGTTAGATGAATAAAAATAAAATCATAAAAATAGAAGACAAGTTTATATTTTATAACTATTCATACTAAAAAATGTTTATATAAATTTTAAAAAGCAGAAGAGATGTATCATTAATTAAGATAAAAACAACAAATATTTTTTAAATTTTTAATTATAAGTTTCATATTAGCAAGTTATTTTTTTAGGTTTTACATGTACTTCTTTTATTAAAGGGCCCATATTATTTTGTATCTTTTTTAATGTATCATATTAAAAAAAAACCAAAAAAGATTTAAAAAGTCGGACATCCGACAGTGACAAAAAAAAATTAAAATAAAAAAAATGAAAAGTGCAATCCAATAGTGATCCGACAGTGATGAATAAAAATTTAAAAAAAAAAAAGTAAAATGGTCGGATGTTACTGTATACATATAGTATCATCCGACAGTAAATACAATAGATAGATATAGATTCTAAGATAATTAGAGCAAAGGAATAATGAAGAAAATGGAACCTGGCAATTCACAGTTTTGTTGTGCGGAAAGATGCGAGCATTGCCAAATGGAACCAAGTGAAGGTTAACAATAAATTTCAGATCTGTGTCAAACACGCGCACAAGATGATCTAAAATGAAGGACTGAGAATCTGGACAGAGGGTTTCGTAGTACAAGGCAAGGTTGACCTTCCGAGGTTGACTTTGATGAAAACGATAGGAAAACCGATCATCTGAGATATTATTAAAAGAATGAGATGCATAGGTCATCATCAAAATCAGAGAAATCATAATATAGGAGCAGCAAAAGAAATTTGTGTTTAGAGCCATTTCTCTTTCAGAGCCTGTGCATAATATATGCTTTGATTTGAATAAACTCTCACTCAGGCTTTTAGTATATTTATACAGCATCTGAGATGCCAAATGCCTTCTTTAGTCTCTTTGATGAACCTTTTGTCTCGTGTGATGGAATACGGCAATAAGCTAATAATTATGTGAACATCGTCACTTACGTGCATGTATCTATTTCTGTTTCATGCATATGTCGTGCTCGTGCCTTTCCTTCACGCCGTTGAATCAAAGAAAGGCCACAAGTAGAGTTTCAAGTAAATTAGTTTTTAAATAACTAAACATGAAAAATTATTTTATTCTTAGTGAGATATTCTATCGCATATTTCATCTGTGTTCCAAGTTGCTCGTCTACTCCTTTTATGAGTGAAGATCAAATCACAAATTAATGAGTTCTTTTTTATAAGCATGAGGAATAGTCTCTGCTTGATAACAAAGATTATCTTTCCCAAAGTACTGAGAGTAAAAAATAAATACCTCTCAACTAAGTCGTTTCATATACAAGAGATGAGATTCAAACCTCTAATCCACTCCCTTAAATAACGAGAGTTGATACTTTTAAATATTAAGTGTTACTTAGGTTGATGTGACATGATAAAAAAATCTCACATCAAATAAATTTGAATTAAAAAAGAGGTATAGGAGTGAAAAGGATTAATAAAATAAACGCTTTAATGTTTTAGATAAAGATGTAGTATCATGCTTACTTATATATATCTTCTTGAAACCATTGGTGGTGTAGCTGTGTTCTCACCTCTTTCTAGATGCTCCCGATCCTAACAAGTGAACCTATAGTGTGAAAAAGATCTTGGAAACCCACTAGTTTCTATGTGTGGGTGTTTTCAAGATGCTTCCCAGACCAAACACACACTACTTACACCAACTTTAATTAGTTGGTAAATTAATGAGTTCTTTGCATTGATTATAAGCTCGTAATATTAAAAATGTTAAGTTGATATAATACTGTGAGATAGATCAAGATGAATCTGCCATACTCCGTAGTTTCAATATTGTTTCAGCCTTTCAGGAAGTGCAAAGAGCCTTTCCAGCAATCATTTTTAAATCCGGGATAATAACAACTGCTCTTTTCCTGAATTCATTTCACAAAGTGATCAGTTGCTTTGTTGTTTATTGCAGGCTGCTGGCAAAGCAGGGCCATTGTAGGCCCTGCAAACGTAAGTTGTAAAATTTGCATAGTCCTGCATTACCAAAAACATCGATTAATCAATTAATCTTGATGAAAATCTTTGAATTAAAGGAAGGCAAAGACGGTTAAAGAGAGAAACCTTTCCAATAGGTTGATTGTTCACCACCACCCATGGGAGAAATTTATGGGATGGCCTAAGATTTGCGGTTTCATTCACATATTTTCTTCCCGGCTGCACAGAAATTCAAATAATGTTAAATTTGAAGACAATAGTATTGATGGATTAATAGTAGTTATAGCTTTAAAACTTTATAATTTACATTTTGAGAAGCATACAGGCCTATGGAAGAAGAGTATATATGGATAAAGTCAGAGAGATGTGAAAGAACCTGTGTTCCATTGCCTTGGTTATAACACTTGAGTACAGGCTTTTGAGGCAGATCCAATTCACTGAAGCAGCTTTCCCACTGCTTGAGCCTTCCCTCAATAACCAGAAATTCAAAGCAGTAAATCAAAGCATAATTTTTGCTCTGCATAACAGTTTTATTATATATTCTGTCACATACCTTCTCAGAGGCCAGATTTCTTTATACGTATTGAAGAACATGTTTAGATGGAAGAGAATGAACGAACTGAAACTGTTTGATTTACTGGCCCAAAAAAAAAAAACAAAGAAACTGTTTGATTTCAAACTAAAGATCAAGATATCCCATTTTCTTTCTAATCCATACATGCTCTTAAAGAAGCAGAGCCAGCATAGTATTAAAAAAGAAGAAGCAGCAGCAGCAGAGAAAGCATCTCAAGCGTACCACATCATCGGAAAGATTGAGGATACAGGATTCCAAAGAGTTCAGGTTACATTCATCCAGGCCATTCTGCCAAGTTTTGTATAATTATAAGCCGGATATAAGAAGGAACACCACACGTGAAAATAATTATGAATTAGCAGAAAGACCACAATTTGCACTCCCTCAGTTTTCTGTAAATTACATAACCAAGATGATAGTATGAAAGAAGCAAGATATGAGTATATCAAAAAAAGAAGTAAGATATGAACACAAATACAGACCAAAGGTAGTATTGATGATGCAGAGATTAAACAGGAACCTGACATGAGATGGAGTTGTTGGTGCTGTTGATTGAAGCATTTGCCCAAGGGACTAGCTGCAGACTCAAGATATCGCTGAGGTCTCTGTTAAAGACTTCGACTAAATTTCTTATGATGAATTCAGCACAAGGTTTGCTGAGGCTTTCATAGTACACTGTTAGATTAACTTTCTCGGAAGACGAAGCAGCAGCCTCAGTTTCAAGCATTAGAAAGCAGAGGGAAAAGGATATTATAATTGTGATTGCTAGTTTGAAAGAAGCCATTTTCGGAATCTCCATTCCGAGTCTGATTCTGAAGAGGAGAGGGAATACGTATCAATAAAAGTCAAGTCGTTGACAAAAGGTGTTTTTATGTTTCTTTATCTATAAAACCTCAATACTACAACCGTTAGGTAGTTTCTATTTCTGTTGGTTAGGTCAAGTTTGAGTTCTTTTATGGAAACTAAAAGAATCTCTTCTTTGTTTAGGGTTACCAAAGGGGCATGATGTTCACAATATTCAGAGGAAGCACAGAGCTCTATAGTCCACTCCAACACCAAACAGGTAATTGAATTGGTCTAGAGACTAGTTCAAAAGAAAATGTTTAAAACATAGTTGAATCATGTTAAATTGGTTACGAACAAAGCATTTTATTAAGTCAATTGAAATACTAATTCAATAGTTTAACAGTGCAAATGGTTGAGTTAATATGATTACTCCAACTTAATCATTATGGTTCTTTTTGTGATATGACTTCAAATCAAGATTAAAAAAAAAATTCATTTCAGACTTTAAAATTTAGATTCTCTCATTAGATAGATTTTAGTACATGATGATCGTCTAAAATTTATATCCGATCCAATTACAATTATAAAGTTTACAGCAATTTAGTGCAAAATGCAAACAAATTTTGCAGTCTATAAAGACAAATCGAACGATTTATAATAATTTTGGCTCGCACATTCGCAGACATGCTGTGTAACCTTCAGAATATTTCCAAAAAGGATGCAGAACAGGAAAAATAATTATATGTAATATTTAGGAGGAATCTGTCCCTAATGTGGTAGATAGTGAGAGGCATGGCAAACAGGAATAAAGGAATTGGTGTAGTGATTAGAGTCAGTGGTGGTGGGGACTGAAAGTGAAAGACAAGCATCTGGTTTAGGATTGCCCTTGAAAGCAGCGCAGATATACTTGAGAAAATTGGGATAGTCCTGCAGTCACAATAAAAAGCAGAGTCAGACCAAAATGTTGCCTTCACAGTGATTGAGTCGAGATCCTTACTTGAATTAAGTTTGGTTAAGAAGACGAAACCTCTTGAAGTGAGTGGTTGTCCACTACCACCCAGGGAACAAATCTAATGGGTGGATCAAGCTGAGCAGTTTGGTTGGCGTATATTTGCTCAATCTGCTTCGTTTTTCATATTACAAGAAAATGAAGGTGAGATTGATGATGTGGTGAATAATGAAAGAAAAAGAAAAGGAACGGAAACGGAGAGGAAAAGGACAAAGAAGAGACCAATCTGCCAGAGCCGTTGGAGTAGCAATCAAGAGGAGAAGAGTCTAAGCCGCTCATTTGGAAGCAGTTCACCCATTGGTTTTGCATCTTCTCTAGCGTTACTCTCTCCACGCAGTGTATGAATCTGAAATGCTTCATCTGAACATGCCTCCTTTTAATTAATTCTCAGCATCATATCTTTTATTTAAAAAAAAAAAAAAAACAAGAAGACACTACAACTGCATGCAATAGTCTAAAAAGCCGTGAAGTTCAAATATTGTTGGGCCTCAAAATCCACTCATCGGGCGATCGGGATTATATTGGGCTCTTGACTTATAAAAATACAACATGCAAGAATGCAGTTCTATTTTATTTTTCCGTTTCTATATATTTTAATAGATTTTTTCTTTTTTGGGCCAAATATTTTAATAGAATTGAAAGATTGAAAAGATGAGTATCAAATTAAAAAAAGCTAGGATTATTTCTAACTAGGTGGGTCTTCCTTCATTGCAGTACAACTGCTGGAAAATAAGTTGCTATTTGTAATAATTTTATATTTTATATTCTATATTATGATCTGTAATAAAATTCAAAATTCCTATCCATTTGAAAGTCTTTGAAGTTAGGATGTTGATTTGAATTTTTGTTTTTCTCAATGGCTTTAAGTTTTAACAATCAACTTGTTCTATGAAATTCAAAACAAGTTTCACAAGAGTACTTGTTTACATAACCTAATTCAAGTTTCCTAATTTTAAAATTAAAAAAAATATAATAAGTGTCCGACTTGAACAAGAAAAAACATAATATCTAATAAAATTGTAAAATATATAATAATTCATCATTAAGACAGTGGCATGCAAAATGTGATCCAGTGAACTAAAAACAGAGAGCCATTATATCAGTTCTTGTGAGCATCATTGGCTAAGTAAGATTATCAATTGAAGGTTCTTGCTATAAAAACAGAATTTTTAGGATCTTTGTGCTTGCTTAGTTGCATAATATTAAAACCAGAATGCAAAATTCGAAGACATCTCTCACTTTATAAAAACAGTGATTAAGAAATAAATCAATTTGAGAACTATGCATGAGCAAATGAAAATGTAAAGGTGGTAGTACATACCACATCAGGATAGATTTTGATAGTGCAGGCCTCGACTGTGTTGAGTAAGCATTCCTCCTCTCCATGCTGCACTTTAAACCATAATAAAAATCGTTGTTAACATTACAGAATTATAAATAAATCTACTATTAGTTCAAAAAAAAAGTACTATATTAATTAAGCTGTTGTATAGTGTAACTTGAAATATGAAATCATTAATCATTAATGTCATAACGACATGATCTATCAAGTCCTTGTTGTCGGTGTTAAATTTGAAAAAAATAGATAAACTGGTGGTAGATGAAAAACATAGATGGGTAATAAATCAGCAACATAAACATGAAATTAATAAAAGTCAGAGTACCTATGTTGATGTGATAATGATTCCAGAAAATTAAAAGACCAGTTTCTGTAATAAATTTCGTTTCGTCATCACAAAATTCAGAGTTCCCTTGAATAATTAGAGGAGTAGTGCAAAGAAATTCGTTGGCAAAAAACAAAAAAAAATAATAATAAATATTTTAAAAGCCAAACAGCAATATATTCTTGAACATCATCCATTTGAAGACAAGATATTAATGGGCAAGAGTGATGAAATATGACATGAAAATGCTAATGATAATAATGACTACTTATGAGTCAGTCATTCAAACAGTGGCTTGAAGAACGGTGGGCAACCTGACAAAGAAAGGAACCATCGGGTGTGATGAAGGCGTTGCCCCAGGGGATCATTGCGAGATTAACAATGGAGATGAGACCCGTTTGGAAGATTCTCACCAGATGATTCACTATGAATTCTGCACAATACGGACACAGAGTCTCGTAGTACACAGACACCGTCACCTTCTCGGCTTCGAGGCGATCTCCTCCATGTGAAGAAGATGATGAAGAAGCAGAAGAAGAAGAAGAAGAAGAAGAAGAAGAAGGGACGACCAGTAGCAACAGCAAGAGCAACGACAGAGGAAGAAGGAGGAAGCACAGGATGAAGAAGAAGACAGAACGAGGAGAACAAGAAGAGGACCGATTTGGCATTTTCATTTTCAAGTACAGGACTTTGCTTCACTTGTTTGTGTTGTGTATTTCTTGCATACTAGGCTTTTCATGCAAGTTAGGTATATATCTCTCGCATTGTCACTTCCCCCCTTTTTTACTTGTGCAAGTGAGAGTGACCTTAAACCCTTTTAATTTCAACAATTCTTTTTTCTTTTTTGGCTTAATTATCACATTTTTAGTACTATTTTTATTTGTCCATTTACCAGGAGTTGTCATGCCCAAAGAAGAGAACACTTACCAAGATAGTCGTAATACATTAGTATTTATTATTTTTTGACCATCGCATCACATTAGTATTTATTATTTAAAAAAATTGCATACAAGAATATCATTGAAAAATATTATTCATAAATAAAGACTAATATGAAATTGATTGTTTTTAAAATGAGAATATAAATTTATTTTTTGTTAAGTGATAACTTGTTATTAGTCATTGTCTGTGAATAATATTATTCAATGGTCCTTAAGTGTGATTTTTCCTTTATTATTAATAGAATTGTGAGTGACATTTTGTATATTGAATTAAATATTAAATAATTTATATAATTTAATTGTTTTTTAACCAATCAGCAATATTGATATATTTATTGAGAACAAGACAAGGGTTCAAATAAAAGCCACAAGGCCATGGGAGAGGCATGAAACAAAACAAAGTAAAGAGTACGAAAATCACATGAAAAAGAGACCAATAGCCAACATTAGCAAACCCCGTGCCTTGCAAATTAAGAGGAGTGAATAGTTTTTTGTCTATTATGATCAGAAGGGAAAAAAAAAAAGCAATAGGTGATGGATGTCCCACAGCCTTTGATGCCAAATGTCAGGTTCCACATTAAGAGACTTAAGGAGGGTCCCCACTATATAAGTGGGTGTACTGTACACTCCAGTCAGCTAGCTTTTTGAGGAGAGAGTAATGACCCCATGACAAAATAGTGTCATAGCTAGATCTAAATTTATTCAGTTGGTGGGTCACCTGTGATGGGGCATCATGGGTTGGCTAGAGGAGTTGTTTGATCTCACATTGGAGAGACTTGGGAAAGATCCCCACTATATAAGTGGGTGCGTTGCACACCCTAATAAACTAGCTTTTTGAGAAAAGAGTAATGATCCCGTAACACAGAGTTGCAAATATATCACTGCAAAAAAGGAAGCTCCTTCTTCAAGAAGAGGAATAATAGATTTTTGAAAATTGAAAACAACTTTCAAAATTAGAAAAATTATAGTAGGCTCAAACTAGCCATATCTATTAACAAAAAAAAAATCCAGAAAACAATAAAACTCCTAAAAAGAAGAAACAAGCTAGAAAAAAACACAAATACATGATAAAAGATAATCCTAGACATAGCCAAGGGGTACCAAGTAATCTAAGCAAACCTAGGGAATCCCCATTCCTAGCCACACTACCATGATTCTCCCGATGTCCTAAGGTAGCTGCAGAATAGCCACCAAGAAGCTTAGAGTAAACAGTCAAAATTCACAACAACTGGCTCAATGTGTTTAGCATATGCCTAGTGCCCTCAACATTGCAAACTTGTGTTATTGAATTCCATCAAAGCCTTGAATTATCTACCTTCATAGCCTTGGATTTATCTACTATTGTCTTAATTCCTTTACTCGAACCGTCCTTTTGCTCTCATTTCCCAACCTTTGAATATGTACCAAACACATTGTCAATATAGCTCTAGCTCTTAAGTTTTGATTCCATAGCCATCCCCAACTTTGAAGCCAAAAGAAGCTTGCCAATCATTTGAATCAAGATCTTCAAAGTGTTGGCATCTTCTACTCCATTGCCCTCCTTTGCTTTCCTTCCAGCCATAATCCTTCAACAATCTACCACTCACTTCCATTTAGACACTCAACAAACATCATCTCACCTTTATTCATTGGCCATCGTAGCTGTCGAGAGCACAACCATACTCCCACCATAGAAAAATCCAAAAACTTAGGAGAAACCTTAAGAGAGCAAACGAAGAAACTACTTCAACCATAAGTTAATTTAATAGGTTTCAAAGGTTGATTCAGTTCAATTTCATTTTTTATTATGATGAAGTTCAATTGAACAAGTTAGTTTGACAAAATAAAACAATTGAATTTGAGTTATAGTGAATTCAATTTGGTTTAATTCTTACATAAATTGACATGAATCAATCAAAAAAATTACTAATGATCAACAACAAGCAGGTTTAAAATATTGTGTATCCATATGATGAAAACGAAGGAAATTGACTTCAGCATGCACGATGATGTAATAGAAAGAATTCCCTTGAGAGAGGTGCTTTTTAAAAATATTTACATCAATTGATAATCAATTAATAACTGTATTGAAATATTTTCTTGAATACCAACAATAGAATCCAGTTTCATTGCTCATCTAGCACTGAGAGTTCATCACATCTAGACCATTCAGCTCTAAATGGTTTTGATTTAAAATTTTTGTACTTTCATTTTTTAAATAATTATTTTAATGGATATAAAATCTAAAATAAAGACAATCTCTTAACTATCAATTTAAAAAAAATACTCCTTCTGTTAAAAAAATATAAAACAATTTTAATTGAATCTTACCTCCAATAAAGTAGTTATTTATTTTCAAACTAACTCTATATTTTTATATTTATTTCTATTTAATAATAAGATATTTCACCTTAAAATAAATATAAAGTGATTTATTTAATAGAAGTATTTTTTTAAAAAAGTAATGATTATACTTTGAAAAGTTAAAAATATTTTATATTTTTTTAACACCAAACCCTTAAAAAAATACATTATATTTTTAAACGAAGGGAGTAATTTTTATTCAAAAAGCACCCATTAAAAAACTATAAATTTAGACTATGAAAATTGGAATTGAACAATCAAAAGATTATAAGCTCTAAATACTCATACGTATGATGAGCATTATTGAAATTGGTTCCTACTGACAAAGTCTAAATTTTCACATTTCATTAATCAATTATCATTCCACCACTTGTGCTTGTGTACAAACTCCAACTCTAAATTTGATTGACCTTTCTCGTTTTACCACCTGTGCCTGTTCACTAAATCCAAGTTTTAATGGCAATTTGTATTCAATAGATCCCTAAATAATATAAACATTTATAGTAATCTAAAAATACATATTTATAATTAAAACTTAATATTATTTCTCACCTTTCTTTTGTTAAAAGACACCTTAACACTCTATGCTTTAAATGAGTTTGCATAAATTTAGAATCATAACAAACAAAATAAAGCATCGAGCTAGTGACATTAAATGGCAATACTATAAATTCGTTAACAAAATGAATTATGTTGGTTAAAAAAATTATGAATTATGACGTGTGTTAATTATTGTAACTGTTGTTGACAATGAAATAGTTCCATCATTCATATAATGGCCACAACTTTAAGTAAATTTATGACAGAAATCTAAACTCAAAACATAAACTCAAATTATAAATATATAAGAATTTACATTTATTAATAAATAGCATTTAAAAATATATGATTGAATAATTAAAATATAAAATATGATCATAATTTAATTTAAATATATTTAAAAATAAATTATTAAAATTAATTTTATCTACATTCATAAATTATTATACTCAACATAGAAATTTTAAAATAAAAAATTATTTTTAATAATTTTTTATTTTTTATTAATAATAGGGTGATAGGTGTTCGTAGAGAAAACATTTCAGGACATTTTTATCCTTTAACTTTAAGATTTAATTGTATGGTTTTATTTTATTAACTTGACATTTATGACCTAAAAATGTCCGGGTTTTTTCACTTTTTTAATGGAAAGTAAAATTTCATAAAAGAGAATTTACAAAGCAAAGAAAAGGAAAATTACAAAGTATAAGACTTAACGTTAAGAAATGGATTGTTGGTTAAAAAAACCAAACAAAGGTTAAGAAATGGGTTTTCTCCTTTTTTATTTGGGTAAAAAAAATCCACATAAAAACTGGAAAAATTCCAACATTCATCAGCCCAGAAGAAGAAAAAAGTCCAACTTTGTTTGGACAATAAATCAAAACTACCCATAACCCGTTTCATTTTAAACTCGCTAAATCCCCGAAATTCCTCTTCTTCTTCGACTCGATATATATACTTAAACGCAGCCTAGGGTTTCAGGCCAGGGACTGGGAGCAGTGGCTAGCGGACTAAGGATTTCATTACTGAGCTCAGGATACCAAGATGGTCAGTCATTCCTCCCAAATCTTATTACGCTTTCCTATGTGATTACAGTTTCTTACCTGTAGCTTCAAAGTTTCCTCATTTGTGATCTTTTTCATCCATGGTCGGAGCCCCATGCTTCTGACTGGCGTATTTAGCGTCTATGTGAATTAAATAAGTTCTTGATTTTGACCATGATGCTTATATTTTTATTTTTTATGACTTTGATCGATCGGCCTTCCAGTGCGGAGGGAGATAAATTTCGGTGTGTCATGTTATGGTATGTACTGTCGGTTTATTTCATAGCTGCGAACAGCGATGCTCCTTCTTCCTGTGTGCTCTATTCGCTGATGCGTTTTTGCGCTGTAGAAGATATCTACATTATCTGCTGGGTAGATAAACCCCTGAAAAATGAAAATATGAGTTCGAGCTCCTATGGAGTTTACAACTTATCTCAAAGTTCTATATGCCTGATCCTGGACGAGAAAATGTTTTCCCACTTTCACATTTTGCTATTGGAATTATTAGTCCCGTGGATATTCTCTCCTTCGGTTCAATCAAGGTCGTCAATCAAAATGTTTTCCGTCGATATTCTATCAATGTAGAAAATGTTGTTCTACATGCTTAATGCTTCCATTTGTTGCATGGGTTCAAAAGCCTGGATCCATTGTACCCAACATATTCAATACTTTCAATTTGATATCTGTTTGTGACTAAAGGCTATTTTAACCCATTTGTCCTAATTTCAATGTTCACTTATTTATTTTTTGAACGACTTTATGATATTTGCTGTAATACTGCGGATAATGGTATGCGCTTATAAACTCATATTATCTGTGGTAACTTTTTTCTTGAATTTCAGGCTAGGGGATTGAAGAAACACTTGAAGAGGCTCAATGCTCCCAAGCATTGGATGCTTGATAAGCTTGGTGGTGCCTTTGTATGCTTCTTTTCTAGTTCTTGTTTTGGTTTTATTTACTTGTTTTCTTTTGAAACATTCATTTACGTTCCAATGCACCTACTCAAAATTCTGTTTGTGCAGGCACCGAAGCCATCATCTGGACCCCACAAGTCAAGGGAATGTTTACCTCTTATCCTTATACTGCGAAACAGATTGAAATATGCTCTCACATATAGAGAAGTCATTTCCATCTTGATGCAGCGCCATGTTCTTGTTGATGGCAAGGTTAGGACAGATAAGACATACCCGGCTGGTTTCATGGGTATGTGAATTCAACTTGATTGCTGGATGATGTTGATCAAACTGTGTTTTCAGCTTATTATTGATTTGATTTATTGGACAATGGTGCAACTTTTCAAGTATAATTCGTTTCAATGCTTCGGATATAGATGTCTAAGCAACAAAACTCAAAATCTTAGTCGGTTGCCATTTCTTTGTTCAAGTAATTTTTCATTCGGAGTAATATCTTTCTCCACACTACTTTTGTATGGTCCAACAGCCTGCAATAAACGTGATTAGTTATTCTTGATAATGTTGCAACTGTTTCATATGGTTACCTTTCTTCTTTTCCATCATTATTATCAGATGTTGTATCTATTCCAAAGACCAATGAAAGCTTCCGGCTTCTCTATGACACAAAGGGCCGTTTCCGTCTCCACTCATTAAGGGATGAAGAGGCAAAGGTATGTCTGATCTGATTTTTCAACCTACGATATCAAATCTTAACAGTAACATGTCTATAGTATGTGGATGTTGCGAATGATTAATTTGTGCTTCGCTTTCCAAAAACTTCTCAAGTAGACTATATTACCGTATCATTAGTTGCTGTTGCTAATTGACATTGCAAAAGGAAGCACGCGGTTGTATGGACACTTTGGACCTTTTACCTGGATTTATGTTAGTTGTTGTAGTTTTTGCCTAAGTGATTTCTGTATTTTACACATTGCAGTTTAAGCTTTGCAAGGTTCGATCTGTTCAGTTTGGACAGAAGGGCATCCCTTATCTGAACACCTATGATGGCCGCACCATCCGATATCCAGATCCGTTGATCAAAGCAAATGACACCATTAAGCTGGACCTGGAAACCAACAAGATCACTGACTTCATCAAATTTGATGTTGGGAATGTTGTTATGGTGACTGGAGGAAGGAACAGAGGTCGTGTCGGGGTGATCAAGAACAGAGAAAAGCACAAGGGAAGCTTTGAAACCATCCACGTCCAGGATGCTACTGGGCATGAGTTTGCTACTCGCATGGGTAATGTGTTCATTATCGGTAAAGGGTCAAAGCCGTGGGTGTCTCTTCCTAAAGGCCGTGGTATCAAGTTGTCTATCATTGAGGAGGCTAGAAAGAGACTTGCTGCTCAAAATGAGGCAGCTGCATAAATCTGATTCGCATCATATTTCGACTCTTAGATTGTTCGTCAGAGTTGGCCTTGCGGCTTAGTTTGAGAGTAGTCTCTTTTTTTTCCTTTTCAATTTTGTTCAATTCAACAGTGAAATTTTGAGCAACTCAATTGTTTTTTTAATTTTAATTTCTCTTGTTTTCGGTATTATGTTGAATGTTTCCACGTAGAATTAGTCTTTCCATATAAAGTAGTGCAATTCCGGCTATGCTATTATGCAAGCGGCAGAACTAAATTTAACATTTCCTATGACGGCTCTGGATTTGAAGTGAAGCTTTAATTGGTCTCGTGGAATTTCTGTGTGAGCTCATGTGCACGATTGAAACGGCGATTTTCATTTCTAACCCAAGGCGATTGCGTAGAACTATTATTTCCATTCCAGTTCTCACCGTTAATTAATAAACCACCTAGCCGCACTAATTTCAACATCCTGCAAACACGAAAACAGCAAACCGACAAGCCAAACTAGAGCAAAGCAATCGTCTGAGAATCACAAGACCAAACTGGTCATCCCTTGTCTTCCTCACGCATGATGACGAAGTCTTTGATCAAAGTGCCACACGCCTACAAGCCAAGAACCAGCAATTGTGATAATAATCATCCATGAATGTAACAATTTTTTTTTATCCAGTGGACTATCAGGGAATTCACTTTTGACAAGTTTCTAAACTATACGCCTACTTATGATTGGTTTGAGTCTATATATTTTGAATTTTGTTGCGTTAATACACAAAGCAATATTGGATGAACAATAGGGAATGAAATGTATTATAAATGGATACATACCGTGACCCTTGCCAACCATTCTCAATTGAGCCACATAGTTCGCTATCTCCTCGATTGCTTCAACCTGTACAAAGGAAAACGTGTTTGGTTTACCTTACTGAAGAACATTGTTGATAGAAAATATGGTAAATATTACTTTAGAAGAAAATAGTTAAATAGCTTTGTGTTACTTTTTGTTTAACTACTTTTTGTAAATTTCCCTATGAAGGAAACCAGCCAGCAAGTGGGAAGATTTTAAATATTTTGTTTTAGCAAGTGGGTAGAGGTTTCTTTGTTGGGAAGGAAACCTCATGCTTATAAATAGGTTGTCTCATGTAAGTGGGATCAGACTTGGAAGAAAGAATATTTGAGTATTATGATTCTCTGGAAGCTCACTCTCACTCCCTCTTCATCTGCCTCCTTCCCCTCCACTCTTTTGCCTTCATCTTTTTCAAGTATTCTGTTTCTCTTCTCTCCCTCTATGTTCTTGTCCCCTCATCTCTCACTCTCTGGTTTCTGTTTCATCTCCCATTTCCCTTTCTTTTTTAAATGAGCGAGTATGTGTTGCATCAATTTTCATGTTTCCTTCTCTATATTTTTTGGTTTAAAGGGCAAAAATGTTCAAAATTTTTTTAAAAGGAGTATTGAATATTCTTATTTTTAGAATGAGCAATGTTACCCAATAAAAAAAAAATAGAGCAATGTCGCCATTTTTCAATGGTTAACTAACGTTGATTGACAGCTTATTCAAATCTCCTGAACACTGAGAACGTGACATGGCAAATAAGCTTTGAAATCATCCATTGAAGTTTCATCATCGACCTCCTCTAGAGGAGTACAAAGCATTCGAGAAGTATACATACAAGGATCAAATACTAGTTCTGAGTCATACACAGGCTGTTAGGTAACTTTGGGACACTCAATGTTTCGTCCACAATTCATAGCAGATGATCCAATAAGCTCATCCTCTTTTCTTTCCTACCTTAACCAAGAAGCCAAGACGACCTTAGAATGCACATCAACTGCATGTTGTCTTGCTGACTGAAGGCTTCGTCGAAGCAACTTCGAATCCGACAACCCATGAAATATTGCGTATTGCTCGAAACACACCTTGGGTTTCTCGAATTGAGGGCAAGTGTTGATTCTTTGATATAAATCAGCTAGAGTTTCAAGAAAATCAATGGGCTTGATAATAGTTCAATTTTTAGTTCTAGAAGATCAATCAAAGGTAACCCATAAGGCAGAAGGCCCTTAGACAATGTCAGCAATTACTGTAGCGTTCAGATTCCTAATCGATTTGGACCAAATAGATTGGGCTCTAAGGTGGCCTAGCTTGTCGCCGCCGGCAGTGGCAGTCAGAGCATCAGTGTAGATCTGAGTGCCCTTACACCCATCCATTACCTTTGAAATACACATAGTAGTGAAGAAATTATGCTGCATCTTCTTCCCTTTGTAGTGAAGAAATTATGCTGCATCTTCTTCCCTTCTTGAAAATAGTATAGTTCAATAGCTCGGCCCTTACACGGTGATTCCTGAAGATTGAACACCTAGAATGCGACATGAATCAGTTTCCAAATTCCTCTCTTTTGTAAAACCATGAAAATTTGAGCTTGCTTGCCCCACAATCGTTCTAGCCCTATTGCATCATTCCAAGTGTTCAATCTTTGTCATGAGTCCCACATCGGGAGGCCACATTAGTGGAATGTGGTTTATAAGTCAGTCGGGCACCCTCCCCTTGTGAGGCATCTTTTGAGGGTGAGTTCTATGCAGATAGCTTGTGGTTATGATATTGGTGCTTTCATTGAGAGTCGACGTTCGCGAAAAGGGCTACCCATGAAGGGGTTAACCGGCCGAAGGCTGAGTAAAGCATCGTGGAGTGTGAGCCTTCACGAACGTCGGCTCTTTAAGGGTGGGCTATGTCATAAGTCCCATATCGGGAGGCCACATTGATGGAATATGATTTATAAGTCAGTTGGGCACCCTCCCCTTACAAAGGGCCTTTTGGGGGTGAGTTCTACCCAGATGGCTTATGATTGTGACATTGGTGCTCTCATTGAGAGTCGTTGTTTGCAGAAAGGGCTATCCATAGAGGGACTGACTGGCCAAAAGCCAAGTGAAGCGTCGTGGAATGTGAGCTGTCGCGGACGTCGACTCTTAAGGGGTGGGCTATATCATGAGTCCCATATCGGGAGGCCACATTAGTGGAATGTGGTTTATAAGTCAGTTGGGAATCCTCCTCTTATGAGGCGCCTTTTGGGGATAAGTTCTACCCAGATGGCTTGTGGTTGTGACATTGATTGTCACGAGTCCCACATCAGGGAGCCTCACAAGTATTGTAGGGTTTATAAGTGTGAGAAACTCTCCCACCCAACAGGCTAGTCTTTTGGGATGGGCTCTCCCTTTAGGCTTGTGCTCGTTACATTGGTGCTTTCATTGAGAGTTCGGTGTCATGGAAAGGGCTACCCACGAAGGGTTCTGATCTGCAGAAGGCCAAGTAAAGTGCTGTGGAGTGAAACCGCTAGGGACGTCGGCTCTTGACGGGGTGGCATTGTCACAAGTCCCACATCAAGGAGCCTCATAAATATTGTGGGGTTTATAAATGTGAGGGGCTCTCCTACCCAACAAGTTAGTCTTTTGGGATGGGCTCTCCCTTTGAGTTTGTATTCGTCACATTGGTGCTTTCATTGAGAGTTGCCATTTGCAGAAAGGGCTACCCACGGAGGGGCTGATTGGCCGAAGGCTGAGTAAAGCCTCGTGGAGCGTGAGTTGTCGCGGATGTCAGCTCTTAAAGGGTGGGCTATGTCATGAGTCCCACAATGGGAGACCACATTAGTGGAATGTGGTTTATAAGTCAGCTAGGCACCCTCCCCTTAGGAGATGCCTTTTGAAAGTGAGTTCTACCCAAATAGCTTGTGGTTGTGACAGTCTTCAAGTGATTTCAGCAACCCATTAGCCAACATTAGTCAACCATTAGAAAAGGACAACATTGCTCTACTTTTTATGCTTTCAGGGCAATGTTACTTCTTCTAAAATGCAAGGGTATCCAACATTCCTTTTAAAACACTTTTGAAGTATTTTTTCCTTTTAATCCTTTAACGTAATAAAATACTCACGGAAAAAAAACACAATGGAATACTCAAGAAATTATAAGAATGACTATATAGGGATTTCCTTTCAAATTTCGTGCCTATCTCTTGGCTCTAGCTCCAGAATTCAAGTGAGTTAAAAAGGGCCATAAAACGGATCAATGTTACCTGCTCACGGAGAAACTCGCTCTGAATGAAGTGGGCCAATTCAGGATCATTGTTGCGGTCTGCAACCTACCATTGATCAAGATTCAAGAACAAGGAAAATCTAGTATTGATTAGCCTTTAAACACAAAGGTATAATAATAATTTGCAGTTTGCTATCAGGGAAAACCGGAAAATTTTCAACCGGAAGCGAAAGAAAAAGACATTACACTGTACACATTCAGCAGTTTCTCGTTTGTTAACTTCTCCAAAGACAGAGCTAATTCCATAGCTGCATAAATCACGCAAGTAAAATAGGGAACCAAAAGTTTAGTAGTATAAAAAATGAAAGTTTAAGCAAGTGAATTATATAATAGCTGGGATAAGGAGTGATTAAAGAATGTCAATTTTTGAATAGATATGGAGAATCACAATCCGACTGAAGAGCATGAACATATACTTCACGATGAAATTTACCAAGTGATTTGAATAATGCAACCAGAAGACTCACCATACAAAGCATCCCCCTTTTCAACATGCTCAAAATCCGAGGGAGGATTCTTGATAGGGTGAAGTAACACTCGTCCACCACGATCGTTCTATAAAATTCTCAGTTACAAGAATCATTAGGTGGACCCATCTATATACCTCAAGCAAGAATCTAAAAGGTTTTAGCTCATGGATTATGAGGAGGCAAAAACCTGATATTTCATAAGTTTTTCAGCATGACCTCTTTCTTCTTCACTTGATGCCTTGAAAAACCTGTTTCCTCCAGGAAATCATAACATGCAATTCATTAGAGAATGAATTATATGAAGGAAGCCTATGGGTTTGTCCGAATGTTACTTGGCAAAGCCCTTCAGAGCAACGTTGTCTCTGTCAAAGTATGCAAACATGGAGTGGTACACATAGGAAACATTGTACTCCACACTGTCAGGCGAATTTAATTAGAGTTATTACCAACAGTACTCTAAAGAAAAGAAAAAATATGATACAAAATATCTTTTCGGCCTTTTGGCTAAGAAGAAAAAGATGTCATGAGTAAGATGACAAGCACTCACTTGATCTGCTCGTTGATGGCAGCTTCACATTCATCTTGGTAGAACTGGCGAGCCAACGAAACTTGAGGGGAAATGGGAACAGCAAGAACCTCCTTCTCGATCTCCTGAAATGGTTCGAAAATAACGGCAGTGGCTGCAGAGTTCGCCTGAGGCGACGCCCTGACCATGAAATTTCTTCGGCGTCCTCTGATCTTCGCAAGACTCAGAGACGAAGAACGCAAAGAAGTGTGATTTATTGGGAGACCACCCGCACCAATGGGCGAAAGAGAAAAGGAAGATACTCGGGAACATGCAAGAGCCATTTCTGACACAAGTCGGTGTAATCTGGAAAACCAGCAGTGGAAAAGATAATAGATTTGAGAAGCAGCAATGAAGAAGAATCAATGAACGGTGGTGTGCTAAAACTTTGAATGGTAAAGGTGAAAGGAAGCAATCGTGGCGAGGAGCCGTGACAGAAGCTGAATGTATTTCAATATAGCCCGTCGAATCGAGAACAGGTGGACGATCGCGATCTTGGGAAAAGCTCAGGCGTGTGGCGGACTCGTGGGTTTGGCACTAGAAAGTAGAACGATGCTCTCCATGTATGAGTCCTTCTCTAAAAGATTTTTTTTTTTTTAACAAGTCACCTCGTATTAAAAGGTGGTTTTATTAATTTTTTTAATGTTATTCTTTCACAATATTTGATGAGCAAAAACAAAAAACTTGTCGGAGAGAAATTATTTTTAAAAACAATACATTTAATAAGGATAATTTGAAAAAAAAAAATTAAACAACGTTAATGATTTGATTACATTTCCTTAATTTTGATAATATAATTATAAATAACTTATAAATAGAATTGAAAAAAGTATACGGCACATATAGTAACTTATAAATAGAATTAAAAAAAATATATTGCATATACTGAAACTCCAATCTATTTAAATTTGTTAGTCATACCAAAAAAATTGGGACGAGTCAAAAAAAAATTAAAGACATGAAGTGCAACTGCATGGACACATTGATAGTAGATTATATCATAACCCTATTTTTTATGCATAGAAAAATGAGCATTTAATTTTGACAAGCCAAATCATCATGAAATATGAAGAGAGTTGTGTTGTGCATGTAAACCGAAGTTACATCCCAAAAGAGCGGCTTAAATAGTTGACATGAATGAGGCTGATCCTTGTTGGAGGGATTGGGGTTTAAAATGCTTGAGTTTGTTGAAGTTATGATAAAAAATGTGAAGATTGAAGAAATATCTTTGACATGTAAAGAACATACTAATATAACAGTGAAAAATTCCTTGGATGGACTCAGAGCGAGTACCTCTAATTGTGCATTTTAATTTAAGCTGTGACTTGCCATTTATATTTTTCTTATTTATATTTACAAATGCGTGCTGGCTGCCTAACTCTGATTAAAATTTTATGACGTGTGATGTTTTGATTAGTCAGCACGTGCATGCATAAGGTAACAAGGGGGCTGCCACCTTGAGCACCAATGAGATGCATTGGCGGTGTTGATCCAAAATGTTGCCACCCTCACAATTACGGCCACTATTCCCCTCCAAGCTTCTACGCGTGTCACAACGTTGATTGGTTCAGGAAACGATCTGTTCATGTTATTGCAGTGGAGCTCTTGTTTATGAAGCATGAAAGCCACGTGGCTTTTCCAATGAATTGCCATTGGTTCATACTGCCTTCTAATTGGTTCACATTTTTTGCTTTTCACTTAAACATGTTTCCGGTGATCACTCATGTTTTGCTCATTCCTGTTGCCATATTTATTTCCTCACTTTGATTCGTACGGGAACAAAGAAGCTCTTCTTGTCAAATTTTACTCCTAAACATTTTTTAAATATGCAAAAAAAATAATTAATTCATGTGTAGTTTAAAAAAGTTGATTAAGTATATAATTATATCTAAAATTAAAAAATTTAGACTAAATTATTCTTGTAATTGATGAAATAAATTTATTTAGCTAAAAATAAACATGGACTTCATGAATGACAATTTAAAAAAATGTAATAAAAACTTATTAAAATTTATAATTTTGTTTATAAATAAAAAATATATATGATAATTTTTTTTAACGTTTCGAGAAGAAAAGACTAACCATCTTTTGTATAGTGCTTTCGGACAAATAATTGAGTGCATGTTTGGAAATATGCAGTGATCGGTAACCCAAGTAGCCTGAGAAATTCAGCTCCTCCGGCCAAAAAACGAGTAATTTATGTTCAAAGATGTCAGAGCACTTTTCCTACCTGTCAACAAAGCTTCCAAAGGTGCAATTTCACTCTCATACAGTAAACTTTACAAGTTTTCGCATTCATTTCATCTACAGGAATAGGAGTAATACTTCCTTTTTTTTTTTTTTGGTAATACAGAAGTAACAATTTTGAATAATGATTAGAGAAACCGGGCTCGTTGCTCGATCAAACATTAACGGGTTTTTAGTCTTTGTACTTTTGGGCTTGTCTTCTGAGCTTGCTCTCTGCCTAGGAATGATCTGCCTTGACAAAAAAAAAGGTTTACCTACAAAAGAAAATGAATGATCTCTTGATCTTTTCAAAACACGCAAGATTTCAAGATTAAATTAATAAAAAGATTAATTTGATGTTTATTGTTAACTCCTTTGATAATTAGAAACATGAAGTTTTTGAGGATCAAAATTGAATGTTTTAGTAAATTTTTTGCCTTTGTTAATCAATAATACGTATTGATCTCTTTTTATTATCCTTAAAAAAATAATTAAATGGGAGGTTTATTTCACATATCAATCGAGTATTTTTTTTATTTGATTTTAATTTTTATTGGATTTAGGGTTTAGGGTTCTACATTAAAAAGGTAATGTCATTGGGAAAAAAAAAAAACTATAGGATAACATATAATACAAGTATTTCTTTCTTTTTTTTTTTTTAAATACAAGCGACGAAACCAAGCCCACTTAGGCTAAACCCCTATCACCAGGATCACAATCACAAGCCAACACAGCTAGGATAACCCCTATAACCAGTATTTCTCATATTCAACACTTAGTGAAATTTGAATCATAATTGCACGCGTGCACAGTAGGTGACGTTTAAGAACATTTTAAAATATTAGTGCTGCTGTTGGCATGTATAGAGGTCTTGAGTTAATAAATTATATCGGCATATACAATACCCCCCGCCCTTTTCAAAATATAAACCCTTTTCTACTAGCAACTATATTTTTTTTCTTAAATTATAAAATATTTTTTAAAAAAATTATTATATTAAAATATAAAATATTTTAAAAAGATTAAAGTTTTATTAAATATATTTATTTTAATATTATTTTCTCTTTCTTTTTATTTAATGTTAATTAAATTAAAGATATTTTTGAAAGTTTATATATTTATTTTAAAAAATAAAATTATTAAATGTATTTAATAAGATTTATTAATATGTGAGATTTTATTTAAAAATGTCTTATAATTTAAACAAAGGGAATGACACTTTACAAAAAGTCAATAATATTAAATTCTTCTTTTTCATATTTTTTTATGAATTATATTATAAAAAGAGGTTATATATATATATATATAAATTTCCAGAGAGACTGTATTAAAAAAATTAAATATAATTAAGATGAATTGATTTTAATTGGAGAGTAACATTCGAAAGAGATTATTTTTTTTTATCATTTTAATTATACAAAATATTTTTAATTATTTTTTTCTTAATTCTTGTAAAATGGTTAAAATGTACTTATATTTTGAAACAAGCTGAACATAATCTTGCAGTTCATCTATAAGCAACAAGGCATCCTAGGCCAAGCGATATCATGACTTGAAAACATGATTATACAGGGTCCAAAATAAAAAAATTAAGGTCTTTTAACAAAACTTTATATATGAAGTTAAAAACACATTCACATAATGAAACGTGCATGTCTTGTCTTGTTCATCCTATGGGGATATTTCAGCTCAATGAGAGTTACCTGATAGGTGAAAATTGGTAAGATGCTTTCCAACGATATGATGTTAAAACAGCTACTTGAGATTGAACACAAGAAGACGAGGCATCTGGCCACAGCTATACGTGATATTACTTGCTATATTCTACTCATTGATGTTCAGATGGTAAATTCGACATAACACGCGTGTCCTTAGAAAAAATCAAATTAAGCACAAGCACACATGTAACTTCAGAGTCAGCATGATATGATGCAAAATATATCATATATCATTTGGAATATTTGAGTAGTGCACCGATTTACCCTAAAGTTGAAGTCTTTCAAAGGGGTTATCAGTTACATACAGGAATAAAGCGACATGTGAGACAAAACGAAGGATCTAAAACAAAGCAGCTTTAAAGATTGACAATTGTTTAGCCTCACAAGGTAACATAAACACGTGTGACGTAGAGGGGCTAATTAAGAGATCATATGCCATCCGCTCGATTGGATTCTTATGAGTTGACAAATAATGCCCTTAATTAATGTCATCTCGCTAGACACTAAGCTTATGCAAGTCGTTCTGGCAAGAAGAGTACAGCGAGATGGCCAATTCAGATAATAACATTGTAGCTTCAATTCCTTCCTTTCCATCAATTTCGCACCCATTTTCACTGTCATACACCTGGTATTCCTAGATTCTGCTCCTCCTTTTGGGTCTCCAATAATAGCAAGAAAAATGTAATCCTGAAAGCTCCTTTTCTTCCCCTTTCAGTCTCTTTGTTCTTCCCCATCCCCTCTTCCATCTCTCAAATATTCTCCCACTGAAAGCAAGTTCAGATATTTTTCACTTACCCTCAAGCCCCTCCCCCTTCACTCTCTCTTTAAGCCTCCCCAACCAGTTAGAATATAATTTCAAGTGTTATATTCTAAGTTATCATATTCGTACCTGCTTCGTAAACCGCCCCCAATGGTCACCGACGCCTCTCCGTTGCTAACCCATGACGGCTTAGAGTTCTGCCAGTACATGGCAGCGGGGTCAATCGCTGGTTCAATCGAGCACATGGCGATGTTTCCCGTGGACACGCTCAAGACCCGAATGCAAGCCATGACCGGGTTGGACCCAGGCCATCATGGCGGAGTCCGGCGAGCCCTCGGTTCCATCCTGAAGCTGGAAGGCCCTTCGGGACTCTATCGCGGGATTGCCGCCATGGGTCTCGGAGCTGGTCCCGCACACGCCGTGTATTTCTCGGTGTACGAAATCTGCAAAGAGAAATTCTCCGGGGGAAACCGGAACAACCCCGCCGCCCACGCAGCTTCCGGAGTCTGCGCCACCATCGCGAGCGACGGCGTGATGACGCCGATGGATGTAGTGAAGCAGAGATTACAGCTGAAGAGCAGTCCGTACAAGGGTGTGTGGGATTGCGTGAAGAAGGTGTTGAAGGAAGAAGGGGCGGGTGCGTTGTACGCGTCGTACAGGACGACGGTGGTGATGAATGCGCCGTTCACAGCGGTGCATTTTGCGACATACGAGGCTGTGAAGAGGGGGCTGACGGAGTTGTCGCCGGTGAATTCAGAAGAAGATGAAAGAGTGGTGGTACACGCCACAGCGGGAGCGGTGTCAGGGGTGGCGGCTGCGGCGGTGACTACGCCACTAGATGTAGTGAAAACTCAGCTGCAATGCCAGGTAAGTAAGTGATGTATAAATTTGGATTGGTCATTGGTGGTTGGTTGATTAAGAAAATGAAAGTAATGAAATTTGATGTGGATTGTGACAGGGGGTTTGTGGGTGTGATAAATTGTGCAGCAGTTCGATAGGGGATGTGATTGAGAGCGTGATCAAGAAGGAGGGATACAGAGGGCTCATGAGAGGCTGTCTGCCGAGGATGCTCTTTCATGCTCCCGCCGCTGCTATTTGTTGGTCCTCTTATGAAGCTTCCAAATCTTTCTTCCTCCGTTTTTGAATTACGTACTGACTCTACTTTCCCTACCTCATTTGGATCTTCCAAAACACGGCCATGTGCTTGCTTCTGTCTTGGAGCAGAGTCTAAATTCTGTGTTTATGTGGCTACCATGGAATGTCCAATTTAGTAATCATTATCCCAAACCAAACCCAACTATCCTGGCTAGCCTCCTCCCGTGAAATGTACGAGTGCTCTGTATATAATTATATATGTACATCTCTATGAACTGCTTTTGCTGTGAAATACATGATTGTCACACAAATAACAGGTCCATGGAAAAAGTTTTTTTTCCCCCCATGAAAACTTGTTGTTTATTAGACTAAGAAATGTTATTAGTATTTTTTACATGAAAAGAATTGATATCATTAGGTTAATGAGATTAAATCAAATCCCTGACTTAGTTATTTGGATAATTTCTTTTTTGGGATGAAAAATGAAATGCATTCAACTAAATAAATAAAGTTAAAAATAAAAATATAAAGAGAGCCAAATCATTCATCACACCAGAACACCACTCTGAAATGAATGTTGCTTTGGGCAGGACAAATTGGAACGGATATTTTCATATTGACTATATATTCACCTTCTCGCCACCCAGCACCAGTGGTCTAGTGGTAGAATAGTACCCTGCCACGGTACAGACCCGGGTTCGATTCCCGGCTGGTGCATGTCTTTGTTTGTCTTTTCCATTTTGCAATTTGCATGTTATGTTGGAATTCACCGAAGTCCGAATCACAGCACTTCCTTCTTTCCCAAACGCAGTCTTAAAAGTATAGATCATCAATCATTCTACTTGCAACAATGCATCAATACAACGGGAAAACAAAAGCATTAAAATGGTCTAAAACAGAATTAGAATTTTTCTACACCAACACCATCCCTAGAAACTTCGTAAGCTTCCCTGCTCCTAGTTTTCTTCAAGCCTGCTGTGATGTGGAGCTTAGAAGGCCCTTCAGAAGCAATGTTGGTCACTTTGATCCAAATCAACATCTTGGTCTTCATTCCCTCTATTTCTACCAGCCTCCCCGTTCCCAAAACACCACTCACCGTTTTATCAAAACGCAATACTGATGAATCCTTGTATCCTACCTCACACACCTTTGGAATGTAAACCATCAATTTCTTTGTTTGTTCATTATATTCATAGTTTGTTGCGTCTCGCGGAAACATTCCTATAGGTAGATCATTGTCCTTTAGAAACTCTGCCAATGGCTTTTGCATCTTTCCTACAGAGACAAAATTTTTAACAAAATTCATTTTTAACTGACATTCATCCAATGATACTAAGTAAATGGAATGTGATATATATGATGATTTCTAATCTATAAGGTGCAACAAGGAAAGAGATACAAACCTTTAACTTTGTTAACCAACCATTTTGTTCCTCCTTCAATACTGTTTGTCAATGACTATATAATTACCAATCATTAAAAAAAAAATTGATTAGCGCAAAGATGGAAAAAAAATATTTTATGTCAAAAGCTCATATAACGAATGGATCATATTTCAAAAGTCATTTTCAATTTTTGTAGTTTAGTGGAAACATTCAAAGAACTAAACATGAAAAAAAAAAAAAAAGACCATCAAGTTAATGGGGTTCCCCACTAAGGATCATCTAATAATTAAATAGGAAATTAAACCATGAACCCAACGTGTAAAAAGACATCATAATTGCAAAGTTATATGATATATGGGTGGGTGTGCAGAAGGTACTATTGAGATTTGATTTGAATCCAAAATTTTGAGTTATTCTCGATTTGCGGGTGTTATCCTTGCACAAATTTGAGTTGTTGACTTTTAGAATGTGACTTGTGAGACACATGCACCTCTTTCACACTTTGATATCAACGAAATCTGTACGAGCCAGGTTTTAGAGCTAGAGAGGTTGTAATTAATATTATGAACAAAATTGAAAAAAGGAACAAAGGAAATGGAAAAAAGCAAAGAAAATGGATGAGATACATTGATATCATTGCCAACAGAAGTGAGTTCCTTGGTAGCCTTGTCCTTGAACCAGTATGTTCCGACAACGTTGACCACTTGATCCATTGTCAAATCTGGTCGATCGCAAAATTGAACCCTTGAGTCTCTTTCTCTCTTCGTCCCCAGGGGAAGAGAAAACAACGAAATTTTCAGAGCGAAGGAGAAGGAGAACCAGCCTCGCTGCCCACTCTTTCTTTTGGCCCTACATGCCTCGTTGCATTTCCTTAATTAGCCACCAATGAAGTTCAAATTCATTCTTAAATAAAAGTGAGGGTTAATATATAATTTAAATTTTAAACTATAAATTTAAAGGTGATTTAAACCCTAAATTCTTATCCTGTACATTTTGAATTTAAACAATTAAAGTTTATATAATTTCACCTCATTGTTAAATTAAAACAAACACTATTATATTTTAAAAAATTAATGTCTAATGTGCAATTTTTTTTAAATGAGAGTAGGAGAGAGAGGGAGTAAAATTTGATAAAAATAACATATTATACTTAATTTTTTTAAAATAACATACATTTGTTTTAATTTAATAGTAGGAGCAAAATCATACAAATTTTATTTGTTAAGGGTTTAAAATGTATCAAATATGTCTAGGATTCAAATCACTTTTGAATCTATAGTTCAATGTTTGAAGTATATATTAACCCTAAAAATAAATACATTTGTTAGATGTCAGTATTCATTATCTTATAATTCTTTTCCATGGTTAGGTCATATGTGCATGACTCGGACGTTCCCAACAATACAGTTTTCAAATATCAGTTCTTAATTACTTTACTGATCATTATTAGTTTTCCAAAACCTAGAATCTACAGTACACCGAATTAAAAAATCTCATTAGATAAAAATACAATAAAATATTGTCACGGGATCAAATGTAACGATTGGAATGTCTCTGTTCTGTCTTATGTTTTTTTTTTTGGGTTTCTGTAATATATAATTTTATTAGCAATAATAATAACTATAAAATTATACTATATAAATAAATATTAATAAAAAAAAATTAAGTATGTATAATATTGTTAAAAATTGCCAAAGAATATTGTTAAAAAAATGTTTAGGATCAACAAACATCAAGAGATATATATTTTATGAGGATAATCAAAGTAATTCAACCTTTTATATATTCTTATATATTTACATTTTGTTATGAATAAAATATGAAAAGAATAAAAATGAAAAGAAAGAGGAGGAAGAGAAGAATAAAAGTAACAGAAATGAGGATGACTTCTCTTATATTCTCTTTCATACATAAAATAAAAATGGCATGTCTTAAACATGAGCTTACATCAAGAGTTATATAAATGCAATGGCATATAAAACATAATTAATGTAACACTCGTGACGGTGGAAATTTTATGGAGGAGGTAAGAAAAATGGATACCCACACTTTTAATTATATTCATAACACATTTATATTTGTATTTGTATATTTAAAAATTTACCATATCCCATAACGTGGCTCAATGATTTAGTTCTGTATGATGCTCATGACCCCACATAATGATTTATTTATTAACTACTAAAAGATACATTTAATAAGGACTAATATAGTAAAAAAGGCTAATCTCTCATAATATAATAAATTAAGATTGAATCCATATTAAAAAATTCTTATTTTAGTTGACCTATTCAATCTCTTACTTTTAAATAAAATTTTAACTCACAATTTACTATATATTTTCAAAATGCATATTTTCTTGTAAAGTTAAAATTCCTAAACTTTTGTGAATTTTTTATATAAAATATAAAATATTCTTCTCCTTTCTTGAAAATGCAAACTTCACATAAATGTGCAAATCTTAACTTTAAATGATTTAAATTTTATTTATGTATACTCTTTCTAAACTACAATATAAATCATTGCTAATTAATTTACATTCCTCAAAAAGAGTTGGTTAAATTTTTTTTTTTAAAAATCCACATCTTTCCAATTGTATCATTATAGTGGAATAAATATAAAATTAAATTTATTTAAAATATTATCATTAATTACTTAAGTGAAGTATAATAAAGTAAGGCGATAATTGAAAAATAATATATAAAACCTACCTATTTCCATATATTTTGGATCAAGCAGTATTTCTAGAAAAAAATTTATATTGTAGTTTGGATCAAGGGAATATCATTTTTGATAGTAAAGTCAACATAGTTTTAAGATTTATCTCTTATTTAACAAAAGGGATAAAATTCAAGCTAACAAAATACTCTCTCAATTTTAATTGATAAGATACTTTTAAAAAAAACATATTTACCAATAAAACTCATCATTAAAAGTGTGTTTGGTTGAAAGTTTTTAGAGAGGATGAGAGGGGAGGGGGCTTGCTTCCTGTCCCACAAGGTATCTAATAAAGGAAGAGGAAGGCAGCCCCTTATTTGGTTTAAAAATTAGAGGGGAGGGCCCTTCTCTTCAATTTGGGGGTTTTTTGGAGGGGAGAAAAGTGAGAAAATAATTTAAAATAATTTAAACATTTATTTTAAAAATTTTAAAATACCTTTAATGTTAAGAGATTATATATTATCTTTCTTTCTCTCTTTCTTATAATAAAATAAATTTTATCACCTTATAAAAATTAATATATAATTTTCTAATGCATAAAATTGTAATATTTTTCATTAGACTCACTAATAAAATATAATATTAATGTATTTATTCTTCAATTTTTTATTAATATAAGTTCAAATTATTAAAATTAAAATTTAACAAATTATAATGTCACAATTGTTGTTCAAAGCAAAAAAAAAAATCAAGTTAAATTTGACAAAAATAAAATTGTTAACTTATTTTTTATTCCCCTCTCCTCCCCTCTTAAATTAAATAAAGGTTTATTAAAACTCCTTTCCTCCTCTCCCCTCCCCTATGTTCATTAATTTGTGCAGTTGCTGTTAATATTCATCATTCATGTTAATAAATTTTAATGGTGTTACCTCCTATTTAAACAATAAGTACTAAATCAATAACTGAAACAAAGTTAAGGAATCAAATTGATAAAAATTAAATCTAAAGGGTCAAGTTAATAATTAAGACAAACTTAAAAAAATTAAAAATTTTACGTACTATCCCAATTTTTCCATCTAGTAATAAATACAAACTTAACTTGAACTCTTGGATAAGGCGGTCGATCGATTCTGGAGTGAATCAAAGTCTTACAATAGCCAAGTGGTTGGTATTGTTGTGGAAAATTCTGGAGGATGCTTCTTGTAGCTAGTTACGACTTGTTCTGCAAAATTTGGAAGTATGATTCTCCATGATTATTTTCGCCTTTATTTTCTCGGGAAAATGATATTTAACATAAGGCGTTTGATGACCAGCAGATTCCCAGAAGCCACTTCACCTTTTGAATATTTCATCGGTCTTATATAGTTCATTGATATTAATTATAGCAAGGGTGACATCTATGAACTTCAATTCACTTGTAAAAGTACATACAAGATATCGTATAGTATCCCCAGATATTACTTTTCATTTAGCTTTTATCTTTTGGGAATAAATTAAAAAAAAACTGAGGCTGCAGAAAGTTCTTACTTAATTTTAAAAATGGAATACAAGATATCTACCGTGTTAATATTAAAGTTCTGTTGTTTATGAATAATTTAGATACTTTAACAAGGCTTTTCTTTCTATTTGGGGGTTTTTTTTTGGGGGGGGGGGTGGGCGGGGGGGCCAATAGGAATCGGTCATATTGCCATACGGATCCATTGGCATGCAGCCATCACTGGAAGAAACATGGAAAGAGAGAAAATATGAACTTTCTTGATATTTAATTTGAATATGCAACCTCCCAATTTAAAATATAAATACTAGTATGATGTTATTCGCTTTTGCCTTTTTGTAACTGTACAGTTTTTTAAATGAAATTTTCCTTTCCATTAAAAAAATATATAAATACCATCTTATTAAATAAAACAGAGCAGAAAATTAAAATAAGCATACGAGTAAGGTGCCACTTGCCACTAATCTCTTGGCCTCTTGGGCCAATCACCAATGGCACATGTACTTCTCTAAAGTTTGTGGAGTTGACTTCCCAATGAAGGAAGGTACCATTCAACCATCTCACCAAAATTCAAATGATAAAGAGTTGTATAACTTAATTAAAAATTAGAATAGAGGTTCTTATATTTAATGTTGAATGTATTTCAAGATTATTTTAAATAAAAAATCTTGAATTAAAATTTTGGGAATGCAAACATAGTTAAAGTGATAAAGTTTTTGCCCAAAAATGTCTCATTGTCTCAATTTAATATGGGATGGATGTAGGGCATCATATGTTCCATGCAAAAGGTTGTTCCTATTCCCCCCGGGGGGGGGGTTGAACATTGATATACAAGCACACAGCACTCCTAATGTGATGATGGTCATCAATCAAAGCCAGAAATATGAGCCCAACGTGATGGATTAATCCATATATAACCTGCAAATGAGTTTGAGAAAATTGAGGCACATTAATTAATTGCATATTTTAAGAATTTCCACCTACCTATAAAAAATGGGGGAGGAGGAGGAGAAGAAGAAGAAGAAGAAGAAGCTGAGCGTGAGGAAGGAGGACAGGTCAAAAGTCAAAAAATGGTGTGGGGATGTTGGGGTCCACTTGAAGGAGGGAGGGAGATAAGGGTACGAAACTACGAATCAAAGGGAACACATGTGCTATTAATTTCAAGTCACCAGCTCACATGCGATTTCCCAGTTTACGCCGTCCACATTTTTAAGACCTTCATTTTCTTTATTTTTAAGACCTACCCCTCAAAAAAGTGCCTCTGTGTCTAATATTACATTAATGCCAAGAAACTTGGATACACCCAAAAAGAACCCAGTCAGTTTATTTTCTAGGCTTGACTTAATTTCGTACCCGTATTAGTAATAAAAACAAAAATAATTAACATTATTGATGCTAATAATCACCTCAAGAAAATAATCATGAGTCATGACAATTGTATGAGAGCACTTTACAACCGCGATTCCTCTAAGGAGTTCAACCCTTCGTATGGTATCAGATAGAGACTCTCTTTCATTATCTTTGTTCTTTGCATTGCAAAATTTAGCCATCACATTTTTA